AACTTATTTAACAACCTGTTATCATAAAAACTATTCCATATCTAGTATAATGGAAACAAGAAGCAGGTACGCACAATAAAAATCTACGTAGGTGGTAGATACACAGCCGGTTTTTAGATCAGGTTAAACCGTAACCAACAAAAGTTTTACAACTTACACAAAACCGAAAAAAGTACAACTAATAGGTTTTAAATAAAGTAAAATAATATAAAACTAAAAAACTAAGTACTTACATCCACGGAAAAACATTCTTGTGGGGTCCTGGTTGTAAACATATTTTCAATGTAAATACTTAATTATTTTTTAAGGAAACGCACAAAACACATCGATATGTTATTGTAAAAGAGGCGGAACACTTAACAAACAGCCACACAGTAAAAAAACACAACACACATAAACTTTTTAGTCAACATTTCAAATTAAAAAGTTTTATAGGTTAGAATAACTAAACAGAAAGCAACCTACCATGCAACATTCACCTATACACTGGTGATGTGATAACTTGATCAATATTTTCTTCTTCCATATCGGGTTTAAAACATACTTAATTAAATGCATATGTATGCAACCAGGAATACACATTAGTTCACACAGTTGCCGACCTTGTAAGAATTTTTCAAAATGTAAGTTAAAATATTTTGTTATGTAAATGTAGCGCAAAAAATAGAAGTGGTATTGAAACAAAAAATAACTATTTTTATAAATACATTTGCCACTTTAATTGGAATAATTAAAGTGTAATAAAATAAAAATGTTCAAATCTCGATTCTTTATTTTCCATAAATGTTTATTTACATTTTACATTCCATACTGGTTCAGATTTTCTGCCAAGGGATTTTTTAACAAATGGTACATTAAAATTTACATAAAAAAACAGTAATCACATATAATATTCTATGTACTCAAAAAATTTAAATTTAATATGTATATTTCAAATTACGTTAAAAACTCTCGAGATTTTATGTACAGAGTGATACATATAATCGAGTCTATACCAGCTTCTGCTTCTTGTGAATATTTATAACAAGTAAAATTTATTTTCTCTAAATTTTTGTCGGACATCTCATATATTTTATTTATATTAGTCAAATGGACAATAAATAGTATAAATAATTAAGAGGGGATACAGAAGTATGCAAAATGTATAGGATGGTCCAATTTAATGGTCTATAGGCCATTAATATAAATACAAAATAAATCAAATTGACATTTTTGGAACATAACTAGTATGGTTTTTTCAGATCCAATTTTCTACTCAAAATTTAATACGCAACAGAATACAATCCTATACTTCATGATTTTTATTAAGAATTAGAAATTAATTTTGCAGAAAAAAGCTAATTGTCCTTCGAATAGTGCAATTTCCCTTGTTTACTAATAGTATCATTAATTTAGAAAAAATAACAATAATAAAAAAATTGTCAACTAGAAAAATGATAGGCTTGCAATTTACAATTTCCAGAGTTTTAGTTTCTAAATGCTCGTCATTAAGATTTATTAAATAAGTAAAAAAAAATGATTCTTACTTATGTTAATGGCCACTGCACCTGTAAATTGAAATAATCTGTAGAGTGATCGATTTACACGGGGAAATTTCATTTTCTTCACAATAATTGAAGATAATTAAATTCTGATGGTGCTATATTTTCACTGGCTGTTATCTACTCAAATGTTTTTATAGCCAAACTTTAACAGTTAATAGAACATATCTCATTTGATGATAAGTTCATATAAATGTAGGTCATAGAATGTTGCGTTTTCGAGATACAGTTGAAATTATATAAAATCACAAATTTAAAAATGTTTTACACAATCGAGCCATTTTTGAGTTTTAATTTCTCAAATTTACAATGAGCCTATCCAAAATAATTCGAAAACTATTCGTTTCACAAAAGAAAATTCTACGAATTTTTCCACTTAATTTCTACCTATAATAAGTTGTTATTAGCCCAAATTTCATTAATCTACATTAAGCATCTTAAACGGTTTTTAAAACTGATCACTTTTATCTTGGTAGTCATCTAAAGACTGCCCAGGTATGATATAAACTTGACTCACTCTGTATATTCACACTGCCAGGTGGCGCTCTCATATTTCTTTTCACAAATATACGCCTTCAAGCAACTGGAAAGACCTTTAATACTAAATGCGAATAGAAAAATTCTTACGACTAGCTTTTTCCAGTAGTGTAAAAACAGTGATTTTGAAAGGAAAAAAATACTGAATTGGATGGCGTAAGTTTTTAATGCTACATTTTAACAACATCCGCTAAATATTACACTATTTTCAGGATTTAATTATGTTCAATCATAAAAATAACGCACTGCCCAAGATGTCAATCACCCTGTACAGACAATGCTATGCTGCACTTTTTTAAAAAAAATTTCAATACAATTTGTTTCCACAGAAAAAATTAAAGAAAACTAATGAACCCTATTAGAATTTGATCAACTTACTCACCTGATTTGGTCCTCCATGGATCGGAAAAATAATTAGAGGGCAAGGTCTACAAGTTGAATGAACAAGGTTTATAAATAAGTGGAAATAATTCTAGAACGGGTAAGTTTCAAGTAAAAATGTGTAATATTTTAAAAAAATCTTTATACAGCATAGACAAAGTTAACACAATTTAAACACATACCTGCAGGATATTCTACAAATAAATGCCAAATTTAAACACTTATTCAGCTCATCAGAAGCAACAACTTTTGTCTAATAATTTTTTGTAAAATAGGATATCGTGTAGATGGATATTAAACAAATACCTAAGTGTTGTATGCAAATATTGTACTATAGTAACATCTATTATTGTCAGTTCCTTGTCCATATTCATTATACAGGGCCTTCATAAATGATTACAAGCTATGTGACCAGTAATTTTGCTTGAAATGATACTTTTATTTCCTTCGTGTTGGAAATCATCTTTGGTAAAATTAAAAATTATTAAAAAGATAAGATCAAGATTACATTATTATAACACCATTATTTCACCTACTGTGATTGGTGTAATTTTACAAGACATTTTACTCATCCAATCGTCGATTGCATTATCTCGAGCATAGATGTGCTAGTTTGTCATTGGTCACTGTAAATGAGTTGTTAATACTTAGACCAATAAAGATGAAAAATCATTGAGAAATCGTGAAAATTACTGGGCGTGATTTTATTGTTGGAGTCTTGGGAATGATAATACAGGAGGCGTCTCATCAAATGGGTCATGAAAAAAGTATAGCGTACCCGTTTTTTATCAACAAATAGGTAAAAAATTCGTCATTTTTCGTTCTACGCGTTATTGTAAAAAACTATTAATCTTAGCAAAAATTGTTCAACAGACGATTTGATCTAAAGAAACTCACCTTTAAAATGAGTTAAAATGCTTTATAAACAAAAAATTTATTGCAAAATTAAAGGGAAAAAGTGGTTTTTCTTTGATTGTTTGTTAATAACTTTTTAAATAATTAATAAAATCCTACCAAACTTTCCCAGTGTGAGTTTTTATATCCTTAAGAGATGTGTAAAAGATGGGGTCGATCGGACTTTATACCCTGATAATTTTAATTGAATTTGCCCATAATTGATCAATCCAAAGTCCGTCAAAGTAAGGGTACATGGCAGTAGCCCTTTAGGGAGTGATGGTGGGGGGATCTTCCTCTCAACCAGGAAAAAAACTGACAATGTTAAATTTGTAATATCTCAGCTTCTATGTAACGTAGAACCTTCTTTTTTTTAATTTGGGGTAGTTCGACGAAAAAATTACTTCTGGATTATTTCTACCCTTGTAAAACCAAGACTTTCCAACAATAAAATCACGCCCAGTAATTAATAAATTTTAAAATATTACCTGGTGTAATTGACGACGTTAAGATTTAGAGAATTTTTAGTTAAACAGTACCAGCTGTGCAATGTTGGTTGCCAAAGCACGGCAGTAATGAGGCTTGTAATCATTTATGAATGTTCTGTATTTTTATTGATTCATCAAAATTAAACTATCATAGTGATGGCCAAATTACTGATCATTTAAAATTCAAGAACTTGCCCAGAGAATGTGAAAGATTCCTAACTTTTTTATAACATTGTTCACTATTTTCAATTTTCAAACATTCATATATATTTAATATAAAATGTTAACTTTTTACGTGTAAATCTTTGTTTTTAAATTCTGAGTTTGTTTCGATACTTTCGACCGGTTCCACTATTTGGGGATTTTCCCGAGTTATTCCGTTATCCTCCGATTCAGAGCCACGCTAAATTACTAGATAATTACATATAACAATTATTTTAATAACTATTACCCTTTACTGGTTACGATATGAATAATATCAACTAATAAATAATAATACGTATTATACCAACATACGTCGCCAAGCAATGCTCTGCATTGCACTGGCAAAGCCAAGTAAACCCGTGTACCATACAAACAAATTATTTACGTCCTAGTGGACCAATACAGGTTTGCTTTGATGACCAACGCGTCGACGTCAATTCTACATCAGGCGGACTAGTTTACCAATACCGGACTCGTCAAATTGCTATTCGAGTATAAATTACGAGACACATCATGGTCAAAGCATAAGAAGAAATTTCAGGAGAAGTGCATACGGTCCAGTGCTAAGATTTACAGGTACCAATTGACAATGTAACTATACAAAAGGTATTATTCTTCAAAATACCATCCTATATTTTCATAAAAAGGTTTAAAAAAGTATTAGACAAAAACGTGTGTTCATTTATTTTTGAGATGTATTGTTGCAAAAAAAATGTGCTTTGAAAGATGTCAAATTTTGTTTTTTTTTATTAGTCAATCAAAGGAATTTATCGAGTTCTGTAGAATTTATTGCCATTAAAAAACATCCCCAAACAACTGTACACAGTATTTCATTTCACTAGAATCCTTATTTATAGGGTTCACATTTCCAAATAAAAGTAAGCAAATAGGCTTTTGTTAAAATTAACGTTACACCACCAGTTATGGTCCCTGAAAGAAATAAAGAGACAACTCATTCACATTCATATTGAACGTTTATTAAGACATCAATGCACGGAATGAATACAAAGAAAACGATACATAGGGTCACGCATAATTAATAAATTCAAATAATATTAATTAACATTTAACTATCCAACCCAAAAAATTACTTTCAACTTGATAAGTAGACCTCCCGTTTCAATCAATCGGACTTGTCGCTAGAGTTCTGCCGCTTCATAGACTTGAGAGCTTTCTCTCTCAACTTCTTTTCGTCCTCGTTTATGACCTCCGTGTCGGTGTTGTCGGAATCCTCGCTCTCCTGCTTCTTCTTCTTGTGTTTCTTATGCTTCTTCGAGTGCTTCTTCTTCTTCTTATGTTTCTTGTCCTTCTTCCTCCTCTTGGTATCCACTTCTTCGTCAGAATCGCTGCCGGACTTAGCGACCTTCTTCCTATGCTTACGTTTTTTCGTGGTATCCTCGTCACTCTCCGAGGAACTGTCCCTCTTATGTTTCTTAGATTTCCTATCCGAATCGTCCGAACTGTCGTCCCTCTTTTTACTCCTCTTAGGCACGTCACTGTCACTCGAGTCTCCCTTCTTAGACTTCTTACCTTTGTCCGAACTAGCGGATCGACGTTTCTTTTTCGTCTTTTTCTCGTCTTCAGAGTCGGAACTCTGATGTCTCTTTTTGGATACTTTCTCCTCGCTGCTGTCCCTTCGTTTCTTTTCTTTCGACTTTTTCGGTTTGCTTTCGGGTTCAGCGCTGCTACCTTTGTCTTTCCTCCCCCTAGAAGACCGTTCGTCCTCACTGTCACTAGAACTAGAATCGCGCTTTTTCGTCTTCTTTTTCGTTTTCACTTTCCGCTTCTCCTTTACTAATTTGTCGTCTTCACTCTCCGAGTCACTCGAGTTTGATTCGGAATCACTCTTTGCTGGTTTCCTAACAACCTTTTTAACCTTACCTTCGGATTTTTCCTTGTGCGACTTTTTCCTGTCCTCCCTACTACTAACGGGCGCCTTGGCCTTAGGCGGGAACTCATTCGCCTTGATGAACGGCGATGGGGTTCTCGACAAACTCCTGGAGTACCTGGGAGGTCCGTGCGGCGGAATTGGGTGGGTATCCTCCGGGCTAATGCTCCTGGATCTGGACTTTTTCCGTTCCTTCTCCTTCTCCCTGATCTTGGCCTCGCCCGTCGAGCTCTCGGAGAGATTGCTCTTCCTCTTCATCCTTTCCATCTCCTCGCGTTCCCTCTTCTCGTGCCTGTGTATCTCCTCTTCGATCTTCCTCTTGGCTTCTTCCACCTTCTTGGGTGGGGGCTCCATGTTCCTCTCCTCCTTCTTCATAGGCGGTCCCCTAGCGCCTCTCGACTCTGCTTGGTGGTCCCTCCTGTCCTCACGTTTCTGCGGGCTGGGGCTCGGTTTCCTCGGTCTCTCCCTGGACTTCTCCCTGACGGGAGATCTCCTCCTGATGCTTCCTCTGTCCCTGGACCGTCTCCTCGACCTAGAACGCCTGTCCCTTTCCCTCGATATCCTTCTCATAGGCGAAGGTCTCCTGTACGGCCTGTTTCTGCTCCTGCTGCGCCTGAATCTCCTGCAATAAAAATTTCAGTAAAATAATTTTATCACGAATCGTCAAATGCATATGTAATTGGAAATAAAAACAAAAAAAAAAACACATATTTTGAGTAAATTATTAACAAAACACTAACCGGTTCCTGCTGGGGCTGCGGGACCTCCTCCTCGGACTTCTCCTGGCCCTGCTGCTCCCCCTTCTTCCCCTGTTTCTGCTGTTGCTCCGGCGGCTGTAGCTTCTTCTTCCACCTGCGCCTCTTCTTGGGCTAGGCCGTCTTGACACGCTCCTTCTTCTTCCTCTACTTACGCTCCTCTTGGTCCTCGAAGGACTACGTCTGGAAGCAAAAATCTATCTGTAATTTGAAGTAAAAGTTAGAAAATCACATCAATCGGAACAGCTCAAGTTTACACAATACCAAAGTATGAAATTCTTGATATACAGAGAGATCCAAGAAGGACTGAATGTGTGCCATTCTTTAGAAATATTTTATATCCCGTGCCCTTAGTGGTTCTGTTACAATTGGCAACAGTGGCGCTGATTCAGTACTGTCTATAGTCGTATTTGATTCACTTAAGATCTCAGTAAAATACAACTAATTGACTAATTAGCACTCAAAATAGCTGAGATCTGAGGTAAATAAAACACAGCGATTGTTCACAGTAACGGTCTCCAACTACTTCAGGATGAGTTTACACACAAGGAGCAGAAGTAGTTTAAAATTCAAATAATCTAATTTAAATTGTGCTTACGACCAATGCTTAAACTCATGCTGAATATTTTTTGAAAACTGAAAGTAATTGCTTTTCATAACTTTTATAAATTTTAATTTTATGCATGGAATCACCTTCAACTACCCTTGATCTCTCTGTATAAACTTTTATTCCAGATTGAAATAATAAAACAAAATTTGTAAATTACCATTTAAGAATTTTACTCAAGTATTTACTGATTAAAAGAAAAACGGGAAAAATTGTACAGGTTTCGGAGTACAAACTTGTTGCAAATCAAATGCACCATTTTGTAAATCAAATTCAACTTTTTTTATATCAAATTCACTTTGTGAGCTATACCCGCTCCAATGACCCTTATCACAACAAGCTATTGTTCAATTTGCCTCGTGATAATTGACGTTAATGATTTATATTTTATTCAATTGAATTCTAACCCCAACAGGATGAATTTAATTTACAAAATGTTAAATATAATTTATACTGTTTATTTGACTTGAAGTAACCTTAAAAATTAAACAATTTAAAATGTTGATATCACATACCTATGCTAAAAATTAAAAAAAAAATTGTTTAGTGAATATTTGTTCTAAAACTGAAAGATTTAAAATTCGTGTAGAAAGTATTATCATTAGCTACAATGTTTTCATGACAAGGCACTAGTTATTCCAAATTTTTTTGTAAAAAAAGAAATATCAAAAACAATAGTCGCTTTTAAACGTATTATGTAAAGGAAAATACTTGTAAAATAAAGGCAACCATATAACTTTTTTTTGTTTGTTTCATTGGAACTCTTTAAAATAATATTAAAAAGGGGGGCAGGTCGTAGACAGCAACAGAACATTCGTAAATGTTTGGACACAAAAAACACTGGGACAAACGTTCTGTTAAACAGAGCAACAGGAAAGTGATTTTACATTTTCTTTTTTACCTAAAAATTTGATATTTCCAGATTTTCCAGGCAGATTTGGAAATTTTTCTAGGTTGCAAAAATGTAATCTCTACAGGGTGTTAGAAGTTTGATTGCCTTAATTTTAACAGACGTAGAATACATTAAAATAAACAAAAAAAACCTATATAACATGGGTCCTAAACCATTTCCGACAAAAAAAAATTATCAAAATCTCCAACTTGATGTACAAAAGTTCGATTAATTAAGCAATATTGACATAACTCCGTACATACACCATAAAATACAATGTTTATCACTTTTTTGAACTTGAAAATAATTAGCGTATTAATTCTAAAATTCGATAAAATTCATATCCAACAATGTGACGTCGCGGCAGTTAACACGAGGTACTAAGCTGCCCAGCAACCAGCAATATGCAATTCAGTTGGTATCTGGAAATTGACTGTGTTGGAGTGTTTTTTGCGTAAAACTATTTCCTTCTTTCGAGATGTTTCTCCTTGCTTTTTTAAAATGTTTACCGTACGTGAGTATCACGATATCTTATTAATTTATGGAATTATTGAAACTTACTAAATGTTTCACAATAATACTCGTTTACATTTTTTGTTATTCCGTAGGACAAGTTTGCCGCGTGCACATGTGGTGTGCATCAGCTGTGTAGCATTAGGTTAAGCGCTGTTGCCACGTTGAGAGGAAACTCCCCAATATTAATAGTCACTGTATTTTGAAAACTGTTAATCATACACCCCTGTAATATACAACTTTTTTGTTGAAGTAATGGCAGTCAAACTTCTTACACCCTGTATATCATTTTCATTTTTCATAAACTTTTTTTTTGTCACTATTTTCCAAGTAAATATATAACAAAGCATAATACTTCGAAAATTATAAGCCGACTACCATAAAGTTTGTACTAAATGGGAAATATTTTTGAGTGTAGAATTAAAAAAAAAATCCCATGAAAGTTAGAGAAACCAGATCTATGAATTCTAGATAATTCTAGATTTTCCAGATTGGTATACACCCTGACCTCCATTAAAAAAATAATGATAAAATTCTCCTGCTTTGTCAGGAGACAAACTGTTACAATAATACAGAAAATAATAAGGAATAAAAAATCCCACCTTCTAGATGTACTCCTCTTTCTACTAGCAGACCTCTTCCTGGAGCTGCTCCTGCGCTTAGCCCTCGGGCTACCGGCGTCCTCCTTCCTCTTCCTCGGGGACTTGGAACGAGACCGCTTCCTCTTCTTGTCGCCGTCTCCCTCGCTGTCCGAGCTATCCTTGTTGGACCTGTAGTGTCTCTTCTTCTGCACGCTGTCCTCCTTCTTGCGTATCTCGAAGTTCTCCTTTGATCCGACGGAGCTGGAACGGGACCTCCTCTTGACCTTGCCGTCCTTGGAGAGAGACCTCGACCTGCGGCCTTTCAGCGATGGACTCGACGACCTCGACTTCGAACGAGACTTTGACCTGGACTTGGTCCTAGGGCGGCTGTGGGACTTGGACCTGCTTCTCGATCTGGAATGGGAGCGGGAGGGCTTGCTGTTCTCCGCCAGGGACATCAGCTTCGCTTGGAGCTTCGAAACCGGAAGGGCTGGGGTGGAGATTCTATAAGAAACGTTATCACTACTGTATATATATTTCTGTTTCCTTATTCTGTAAGCGAATTAATGTCTATTAAAGTACGAATAATTTAAGTAAAATACTTGATATTTCACATCAATATTTTTAATGACATATTGAATATCGATCTCTGCATTCTAGCTATAAAGTGTGTTAATTAAGTACATTAACAAATTTTAAGGGTTATTTTAAACTAAAAAGATTATATAAACTTAGGTCCACAAATCAATATAGTATGCGAGATACAGGGGACTGATATTAAACAAAACACTCTTTTAAAAAAATGATTGATGCAAAATGATGAAACTTAGGCTAAGGATTTATCTAATTAAAGGTAAAAATCCACAGAATAAGGAAATAAATATGTGTACCAGTGACGGAGATATTAAAGAAGTTACTTTCACTAAAAACACCAGAGTTAACATCCTTTATATGAAAAGATACAATTTTGTTTAAATATTTTGAGATATTGTTTTTAGTGGTGTGTCGTTCATGAACGATCCGATCATAATGACCGAATCTTCTAAAAGAACTGGGATTGATCCATTCACGTTGTGTGACCCTAAAGCTCATCGTTCATTTGCGCACAAACTCAGTACCTGCAGATCTGAATTGGAGAGCTGGTGCTGATACAGAATGAAAGCCACGAAAGACCGACTATGATCAAGTGCCAATGGGTATCAGTACTCTGAAAGTCAGTATTGTATGTTTGCGATCTGAAATCTGAATACTGGACACTGTAGAGGGATATGCATAATTTAAAAATCATTATTTATGCAATCAAATGATGGTGCTGAATAGAATGAAGGAGACAAAATTCCAATTTTTTACTGATAAGATTAACATGATAATATTGTAAAAGTAGGTACCAATAAAATTTCTTTGAATATAGTTTTAATAAAAACGCTGTCATATCATTTTGGAACAAACGTTGCATTTTGCCGTATCACCAACACCGTGTTCAGTAAAAAAATTCCATACTCCTTTTTTTTTGCTTTCAGATATTTTTTAAATTTTAACCAACAGGGGAATATAATACAACTAGCGAACTTGCCTCAAAGACTGCTGTTATAAAACTAAACCAAATAAAAATTGTTTTAAATTTGAGATGTAGTATAGGCGCTTTTAAGTGCTCCTCACAATATCTGTATTATTTTTTACATAAGCATTGAGCAATAAATTTCTGATGTGATTTACTTTTGTAAAAAGTGTCTGGTAATAAATAAAGCATTTGTTTCTTTAAAAAAAATACAAATATAAAAAATATATTACTATAAATCTATCAAATGTCGATAGTGCAAGGGCAGGTGCAGGAAGATATTAAGCACCGCAAGCTGTGACAAAAAAAGGCACGGACCGACGAAATAGAACACCAAATGATACAGATTAAATTTGATACTATTTTATTCATTTCAACGGGTCTTCATGAACGAATCATTTTAATAATTGAGTTGGATAACCCGGGTCTTGGAAATAAAAGGATCTTCCCGTCACTAACTGTTTTGTAATTTATAAAGCGGAATTAAATGGAACCTAAATAGGTATTGCTTTTATTAAAACAGAAGGGAAAGCCTATTTTGGTCAGTTTTATATTTTTAGCAAAATAAAATTTGTTTAAAAAAAATATTCTTTATAATGAAACATGTTTTCTTCTCTCAATAAAATGTGTCAATGTGAATTATTATAACAATATACAGGGTGATAACATTTGTGTTATAGTGAAGTATCTGTTATGGTGAAGCAAGACAACATTTGTGTTAATTCATAGAAACCGGGCACAACGGGCCCAAATGTGTTTACATGTCGGTGGACAATATTTTGAACAGTTGTAACATCAGATATTTCAAATTAATTTCTTAATCAAACCACAAAATAATTTTATTTATTAATAATAACAATAGCGGCAAAAGCAGTTGAATTTGCTGAAATAAAATAGGTATTATAAAATTTTATTTTTTATTTTCTTAGAAAAAAAATTCTTTAGATTTTTTTGTCTGTTCATTCTTTATTACACTCTGCCACTACAACTGCATGCTTTGTCTTGCCAAAGGTCAAGTTTTACAATGGACCAGTTTCCAGTGCCGTGCAGAAGTGTATTTTTAAATCATTTGCGAACAGCCCTTTTTGATTTTTTTTTTACAAAATTGTATTTGTGTCACTTGTACATTCAAAATTTTTTTTCGTATAAGTTCTGAATCACCCTGTATATTAAGTATCGATACTCTACGATCTGACTATTCCATGAAATTAAAATACATACATATGTCTATATTTATTTGACATGTAATATGTATCCTGTACTAAAGGACATGCCTCAATTTAATAATTATATACATTTTTCATGTGGGTGAAAACTTAAACTTTCTATAACTGACAAATGTACACTTGCAATAAAGAAATTTATGTCACATCAGTCTAATCGACAGCAATGCAATATTTAAAATCTAGAACATAAAGGTATCATTATTTAAATATCAATATTTAGTAAACAAAAAATTTTATTTCTGAAACAAAAATGTCGCATTTTAGATGATATATTTTAGATCCATGAATACGTCACAGATTCAATTACTTCACATCCGCTATAATTGGAGAGAATGAAACAGCAGTCATGAAGTAAAAGTAGACATGAAATAATCGAGTCCATGGAGTATTTGCAGATATAAAACAGTATAACATCTAAAAAGCGATACTAAAGGCAGTTAGAAAAATCGGTCCTAAATCAAAGATATTACCGAAACAATGCCAAATTATTAAGATTAATGGAAAAATTTAATTTCACCTCAACAAAACTATTTAAAAAAAAACAAAAAATAAAATACATGTTATTTTACACAAACCTTCTAAAAAAAATTAAGAAAATACAAACGACCCAATTGTTCATAAGTAAAATATTTTAGATCTTGGCAACAATGTATTTAGTGGTTTTCAAATAATGTACTTACATTTCTGCCATTATAACAGCACTATTACAGGCAAAACAAGAACTGTATAATGATAGCACCTATCTAATTTTTGATAAAAATAAAAAAATGAACAAATTATTGTGTCAGTATGTTTTACTTGAGCTCTGATAGTATGCACTAGTTCTTATCTTCCAGTGTGCAATGTTTCTATCAGACGGAATGAATATGAAATTATTATAAGTTATATATAAAAAATTTTAGATCAAAACACCACTAATTATGGAGTTGATTATATTTTCAAATTTGGCAAAATCAAAAAAAAATTATATCATTTTAAAGTAACTCATATATTTGGTATTGATTAATAATTCGGTAAAGTATCATCGCTGGTGAGAAAATGCTATCAATGATAATACACTCAAAACACAAAAATGTGGTTACCTTTTGGACATACTGATCTTACATTGTCCTTAAAAGTTCATTACTTCAATTGCATTTAATCTCAAAATGAATGTGTCTTTTCCAAATGAAAATGTGAGAATGAGTGAGTGATTTATAAATATACATGACCTAGAAAAGATTTATTTTTGTATCTTCCATATAATCAATTACATACTACATATAAAACATTTTATATTTTGAAAATTTGGGTAGACATGTTGCATCTGCCCATTATCATCACCTTGTCAGTCTCACCGCTGACTACGAACAAATAAAAATTGAGGTTTATTTGCTTCCTTGACCTAATCACGTATTTTTCCAATATTTGACATTTCGATTATCTATTCTACTTCCCTTGTAAGTAAAAATTAGAACAATAAATAAGTTCAAGGCTTATTATAATTAGCACTAGCTTTAAATTTTTAATCTTGTTTTTTGGTATGAATATGATGAGTCGGTCAATTTTTTAAATAAAAATATGTTCCCTATATTCAACATGCTATCACCAAAGTTTTTTAAATTCTATTAATAAATTAAAATTCAGCTTATTCATATTTTAACACTAACATTTAAGAAGTATAGCATATCCTCACATATTTATAAATTCAATGCCATCAAAATAATGTACTGGAAATAAAAATATTTTCACTGGAAATTATAAAGTAATCGCAAAATTTTCGTCACAATTTTACTAATTAAAAATATGTTTGTTGTAGCTTCTTACTTCTTAAATCTTAGTATTTGTTTTTGTTTTTATATGTTGCATTTTATTTATTTTTACACTAGTTTTTCAATTGTTATTTTTAATAATTACCATTTTACTTTATTATTTTTAATATCTTTTTGTATCTGCATTAGGGTGGCCCAAAAAAACGAATTTTTTTTTTTCGTGTCTTGTGAAAATATGTTAGTTTATCATGTTTTAAGAACCCCCTCTAAAAATCAGCCCAAAAAAATTTTTTTAGAGGTCGCTCAAGATTTTAAAAAATTTCCAAAATTGTCACAAATTGAATTTCTTTTTTTTAATTTATTTTCTCGTTATTTTATCATTTTCCAGGATGAAAAAAATTTCCATTCTGAAAATTTCATATCGATATTTTAATTTCTAAAGGTCACTCATAATTATTTTAACTTTAAAAGTAGTGTAGCTAAAATGTTTTCGAGCGACCTCTGAAAATAAATATCCACAAACCAATAATTTTGTTTATTGAATTTGATGAACAAAAGAATAGAAATAAATCACAAGACACTTAAAAAATTTCTCGAAGTAAAATTGACTACCGCACTGTGAATATCAAATGTTTATAATTTTTTAATTTTTTAAAATTCAAGTGCCTCGTGATTTATTTCTATTTTTTTGTTCATCAAATTCAATAAAAAAAAAAAAAAATTATTAGTTCGTTGATATTTATTTTTAGAGGTCGCTCGAAAAGATTTTAGGTACGCTACTTTTTGAAAGTTAAAATAATTATGAGTGACCTTTAGAAATTAAAATATCAATTTGAAATTTTCAGAATCGACATTTTTTTCAACTTAGAAAATGATAAAATAACGAGAAAAAAATTAAAATAAAAAAATTTCTATTTTTGACGATTTTGGAAATTTTTAAAAATCTTGAGCGACCTCTAAAAAAATTTTTTTTTGAGCTGATTTTTTGAGAGGGCTCTTAAAACATGATAAACTAACATATTTTCACAAGACACAAAAAAATATATACTTTTTTTTGGGCCACCTTAATGTGCATGTATCCCATACTTGCTAAATTTCTTTTTTGTTGATGTATTGTTATATTTATTGTGTTTTTCAAGTTGTAAAATATATTGATACTGCGTAATTAAAATTCTTTTAAAATCTTTTAAAATAAATTTAATTGTTTTCTTTTTCAGGTTTTGATTTTAATAACTGTATTTATTTTTAACTAAAAGCGTTTATCATTTCCTTCTATATTTAAAGAAGAAATGTAATTTTTCAGAAATCTGCAATGTAGACGCGGATGAAGATCTTTTCTTTTTCTTAATTAACATCTGATAATATACCTAAATGTGAATGCAAATATCAAAGTATGTAGTTACCTATTCAAAATATCCATTAAATTGATACCACTATCATATAACACAAAAGAAAATATCAAGGAATAAAAATTTTAATAATCAAACGTTATTTGAATAAACACACATTTCACTGATAATTGAATTTTGATAAATTGTACGCAAGGCAAGAATTGACAGTTTAATGATAGATTATCACACATGCATAGTAAGTATGGTAAAGAAGAATAGATGCGGATCTCAAAAACTATGCGAATGCTCTGGAAGTACAAATGCAGAAGCGCGTAATATTTCTGATTTAAAGGACGTGACTATTTAAAAAAACAACAGAATACCAAAATATCAAAATTATATATATCGGCACAGCAAATGGATTAAAATTAACTAAAAATATTTATTCTCACTTACGTATTATGCCTAACGTTCCCACTATCATTTTCCAGCCTCTCGGAACTCTCTCTTCCATTCTTCTCCTCAGGGCTGATGTTGCCGTTGTTCCTAATTTCCTCACCTTTACCTGCAGACCTTGACCTAGACCTGCTCCTCGACTCCCTCTCCGGACTCCCCGATTTCCTATCAGGGCTCTTCGACTTCTTGTCTCTGCTCCTGGACTTCCGGTCCCTACTCTTGGACTTCCTGTCCCTGCTCCTAGATTTCCTATCCCTGCTCCTGGACCTCTTGTCTCTGCTCCTCGACTTCCTGTCCCTACTTCTTGACTTACGGTCCCTGCTCCTGGATTTCCTGTCCCGACTCCTCGATTTCTTGTCCCGGTCCTTGTTCTTGTCGTTGTTCCGGCTCGATCGCTCCCGTGATCGCTTCCGTTGCCTCGACCTGGACCTGGACCGTCTAGATCTTGACCGATCGCGATCCCGATACTTCCTTTCCTTATCCGATTTGTCCCGTTCCCGCTCCTTTTCTCTGTCGCGTTCACGTTCTCTCTCCCTGATCTCCCGCTCCTTATCTTCTTTTTCCTGAATTAAAAAAGAATATGTAGAATTACATTACATAAAACAAACGATATTACTTTTTTCTTTGCCAGTTCTTCTCTCTTTAAGTCTATCAAAGAATCAGGAATTCCGGTGGGATTTTCTTGAGCCGATATAAGAAGGGCCCACAATTCAGCCATGAACTCTCTAGCATTTTTTCCATTCAAGAACCCAGTAAGGTTGATTTGTATTTTCTTGGGGTCTGGATACTAAAGACAGAAATAAATTAAACAACACAATATTCCTCCTAAAAGAATCTAAGAGACGACCTACTTGTTATGATAAACAAATATATTTTAAAAATAGAATAGAATAAAACTGACGGTGGAGAAAGCAGCAGAACCAAGAATGAACTATATTTTAACTAACCTTCTCTTCTAACTGATTATATACAAAATCTACAACAACGTCATCATCAATTTTAAGCATCTCAGTGAGCTTATCCTGTATCCACGGCTTAATAACATCCAATTTAATTTTGGACATATCCACCTACGAGGTAAGGCAATATATTATTACGTAAATAATTCAAAGTAGATACCTCACCCGTTGACTTAAACAATCGCTGAACCTCATCTGCTTGAGAAGTTTCTTCTCCTTATCGCTGAAACGGTTGTCCTGCTCGGTAGTCGTTCCCTTCATAAAAAAATCCATTCATTTAAGGTATAAAATGTCTTATTATTAAAAAGCTATGTGTGCCACCAAGGAAATCTATTTTTATCAATATCAATGTTACTATTTTGGAGTATAATTTTACTTACCGTATACATGATCATGCAGTTAAAATGATCCGTTTAATGTTGAACACAAATTAAAGAAATTAAAAAGATAAAATTAATAAAATTATTAGTTTATACCGGTAAACTATGCCACTAATTTACATACTTAGACTACACTTTTAGTCTATTTACAGAGTTTTGACCAATAAACTACTTGTATGAAATGCATATTATTTATATGTATAGCCATTTGTCAGATTTTATTATAAAAAAATTAAATATTCCACTATCACAAACTCTTCCTAAATGTACAAAATGGCGTAATGTTGGCGACTGGCGTCAAAAAATCCACAACGCACATCACGGAAATTTTCGATTAGCGAATGCGGGAAATTTGAAATTGGTGTACTTTATTTATAATGGAGTGCGTTCCACATTCCTTGGTTTGGTAATATACTCGTATCCTGTTAGCACCTATAATGAGAAAATTATAAAAGAAAAAAGTATGGTGTATTACCGTCGAAATTTAAACCTACTACATATATAAAATTATTTCTGTAAAAAACTACAATATAAAGGATAAAAAACGGACAAAAACAATTAACAATATTTTATTCAGGAATTTTCAAATTTTAAAATGGTCCCTGTTTGCCCTTGACAAAGTACTAGTCATTCTATACATAGGTTCAAAACATACAATGACTGATAATGTACCGAACATAATCCCACTGGAGTAGTAACAAAATATGTACAGTAAAAAAAATAAGTCATATATTGTTTTAAACTCGCTTACCTTCGACTTATACAGAACATTGACCCACATAAAACATTAGCCACCTTACAATTAATATTAATGTGATACCTACAGAGTGATCTGTCCTATTCTGCGATTTATTTTTCAACGCAAAAATAAAACTAGTAAAGCAATTATTTCTAAACATATTTAGGAATATTTTATAATGTTTTCCTTTTATACCGTTTATTTATTTATTTATATTTAGTATTACAGTGTTCTAACAGATTTATAACCCAACTACAAAACAGGAGTTAAAAAATGTATGTATGTAACCTACATAAGAAATGTTAAAAATTCTATAGAAATGAATCAGTAAAAAGGGATAACTATACAAGGTGTCGCGGAATTGAGTAAAATAAATTTAGAGACGATAAAATATTAAAAAATAAAACGATTATATCCTATGGACCATGAGCCACAGGCTTATCGTCTTTTATTTTTTAAATACAGGAAGTCAAAGATAATTTTTAAAATTAAAATTTAGCCCTCCCATATATTTGGCAAAAATCAATTTATTTTATTGAAATTTGGTACAAGAGGGTGGTTCCGTCAGTATTGTAGTAGGTATGTCTTGTATTACATTTAAAATTTCATTGCACATAAAAAAGGTATTTTGTAAAAATTGGTCAAGTTTGTTTGTTTTCACCTCAAGCAGCACCTTTGAAGTATTTCCCATTCGATGGTGAACACTCTGTATTTTAAGGACAGAAGCTGCGATTGACTCGGGAAAGTCAATTGAGTTGAGTATTTACAAGTAGTAACTATTGCTGCTTAGCAAATTAAAAATGTACTGAAATAAAGTCTTGAAGAAAGTACAGTTACTTTATCATTATCATACGTTTTCTGTATCACCAGACCGATTTCGAACTTGTTTGTCCTCTGCTATGGTGAAACGATCGACGAATGAACTGATTAATCATAAATACATATAGCTATAAATGATTATGGAGTACTACTCTAATAAATACTAAATCTAAATGATCTCTGAAGAAGTGCGATGCAGAATGATGAAACTTAAGCTAATAATTTTAGTTGAAGGTAAAATTTCACTGAATTCGATAAAAAATCCACGTACTAGCAGCGGAGATACCCTTTTTTAAATACAATGCAATGTTGAAAACTCTAAGAACATAATTAGTGCATTTTTTTTCTCGACCATACCCCTTGGTACCTCTAACAAAGTTACTGATTTTTTTCGGATTCGTCGATCATGATTGGTTTGTGCTTAAAATTGTATTGCTTGTAAAAAAATCCTTTGAAAGTAGTTCTGAGGTTATTTCATATTTTTGTAGAGTTTTTGATTATGTTTTAATAAGATAAATTAGATTAGTCCAAGTTTCATCATTTTTTATCAAATGTCTTCAGATATATTTGAGATAGGGATATTTTTATTAATTGACATAACCCGAAAACTATATTGTTCTAAAACTATTGGTTTGCGCACATATTTATATAATTTTTTGGACTAAAAATTATTGAAAGAATCGCCCTTTATCGTATCAACATATTTAATAAACACCCTGTATATCAAATTTTTATATATTATTATAAAAAATTAGAATAAACACAATGTAAAAACAATTGAAAATAAAATTTTACAAAATTTAAAAAAGATCTTTCTCTACCTATTCAATACTTCCAACTTTTTGAAGGCTGATTGTTGGTTTGTTCTATCACCATTTCTCGTCTCAAATTATTACCTACTTTAATGTCATAAGTATCAGAATTATTTTTATCCATCTCCATTAAAAAATTTAATGAACGCAATTTAATGAAATAGGTTAAATAATTTTAGAATAACTCATGTCATTAAAATTTCAATTTAGACAAAAATGGACATGGAACAATACAGGGTGTCCGAGCAGGTCAAACGAGTGCTAGTACTTCATATAAACTTTTTACCTAGGTGCCATTGTTGAGGAGTTATTGTCACTCAAAACACATAGTTGTAATATGTGCTCAAAGTAAGAAGTTGAAAAATGAATATTGCCCATGTCTAAAGGTGTTACTTTGATTGACTTTGATTTGGGGGATCAAAGCAACTCATTCAAGTGTATCTTTGTACATTTAAAATTGAATCAAATATTTTTTATTATACAAGGACGGTCGAAATTATGTTCTAAAATTTACGCAACTTTGACAGAGCTGTCAAATTTGACATTTCGCCCTCGCAGGTAGATAGCCCTGTTACTTTTCTACAAAAAAGGTATACGTCATGGCTTATGAAAAAATGAACGGTTGTCAAGATAATGAAATGTTTGTATTTTGTGTATAGCCACAGAAAAAAGTTAAGAATGAAACATATGGATTAAAAGAGGTTACTTCAGTAAATGCTCGATATGTCCTCCATCTAGTTCAGTGCACTTCCTTATTCTTTTAAGATTATTTTGTTGCACTCTAAATAGCATTTGTGGATTCTGTTTAATTTCAGTACAATGATGTTTTATTATTGCCATCAACTCTTCTCTTGTATAAACCGGAGTTGAATACACCAATTCTTTTAGGTAACCCCACAAAAAGAAGTCAAGGGTATTAAGATCTGGTGACCTAGGTGCCCATAAGTGTGCTCCGACTCGCCCAATCCACCAAATGTTGCATTGAGGTAATTTCTAATTTCACGACTGAAGTGGGGCGGTGTCCCATCATGCATGAAATACATCTCCTGTCTTGTTTGCAATGGCACATTTTCTAGTAGTAGATCTTGTAAAAAAATCAAATATCGGGCACCGTTTAATCTATCCGGTAAGAAAAAGGGGACTATTAATTGGTTACCGATTATTCATGCCCATACATTAACTATGAATCTTTGCTGGTGTTTGCCTTGAATGACTAAATGAGAGTTTTCATGCAACAAAATAATCTTAAAAGAATAAGGAAGTGCATTGAACTAGATGGAGGACATATCGAGCATTTACTGAAGTAACCTGCTCTGCAGCTCTGTCAAAGTTGCGTAAATTTTATAACATAATTTCGACCGTCCTTGTATAATAAAAAATATTTGATTCAATTTTAAATGTACAAAGATACATATGAATGAGTAGCTTTTATCCCCCTAATTTCAAGTTAATCAAAGTAACCCTTTAGACATTATGGGCAATATTCATTTTTCAACTTCTTACTTTGAGTGACAATAACTCCTCAACAATGGCACCTAGGTAAAAAGTTTATATGAAGTTCTAGCACTCGTTTGACCTGCTCTATATAACCCTTTATTTTTTCCCCGTAGTTACCGGACACCCTGTATAATAATTAGCCAGAATGATGTAGGTACAATGTATAAACCAAAACCTACATATACCTATACATATATTGAAATTACGTATCTTTTATTGTGCGAAGATATGCATGTAGCTTCTTCGACTTTTTAGAAACTAGATTTTACAGGAAACAATATGCGTTATTTATCATACAGTGTGTCCACGGATTAAGTTGAAATGAGGGAAAATTTAACTATTCTTCAATTTATGTATAAAAGTCAAATGTACAGAAATGTAGTGTTACGTCATCCAACATATACAGGGTGTTTCCTATTAAAAGATGATCAGAACGATAGTGGCTAATTTTATCCTTGGCGATCAATACTACATTATGCTAATTAAAAAATATTTATTTATTTTCAAACATTTAACATGTACAGGGTGCTCCTAGAGCATCTTACTCGTGGGCATTATTTCAGAAAATTTTTGAGCAGATTTTGCCACTTTATGGAACAAATTTGTTTACAAAATAATCTTCATCATATTTTTATTTATTAAAAATTATGTACGTTTCGACCCGAATAAAAAAATAGCCTAGATAAAGTACCTTTTTTGTGTACGCTAGCAAAACATATTACTGTGAAAAGTTGTTTTAAAAAATGTGTTCACATATTCCACTTGTTTGCGAGTTTTCAATTTTTTCACACTGCGTAAATGCCATGTTTGGGTAGAAGTTGGGAAAAATTTTATTAGACATTGTTTAGAATTAAAGTGTGTGTTAAATTTTATTGTTGTGAAAGAGTATTTTTTATTTTATGTGCTGTTTAAATGACATTGAGTTCTAAGGATAAAATCAACCACTATATTTCATATCATTTCTTTATGGAGGACAGCCCACAAATGTTTACTTAAAACTACGTTTTTGTACATTTAATAAAAATTTGAAAAATCAAAATGTTCCTTCTCTTCAACTCCATCCGTGGACACACTGTATGTATACATATTTTCCTCCTTTGCCACGTTTTTCTGAACGCCTCTACCATCACGGCAATAACAATAGTGGCCTGGATTTCAGCGGTCACTATGTACACATTCTGAATCAGGTCTCGCCAAATATTTCAAATTTATGAGCGACGAAATACTTGAAACTTGAAACATGTACATTTTTTCCTATGCCCCACCCGCCTGTTCTCACCTGTCTTCACCAACGTCCCCTTCCAGGTAAGTACCATTATAATTTCCGTTTTACAAGTTCAAGACCAAGACCGCAAGACTGTCGTCGGTTCAGTCTACTGGCACAAATTAATACCGCTATAAACATCTCAAGAATATTAATGCTGGAAGAGCGTTCAGTTTATACTTAGTGCCTCAACGAAGAACAGTGTTATGGTTTCGAAAATGTGGTCAGAAGAATAATGTGGAAGTTTTAATAAACACCCAACTCACAAGAGTGTTTTTATAGATAGTAAGTTCGTCAGTTTCCTGAATTTCTTGACAATAAAGGCACCACTTAGATCTAGGAAGATGTCACGAAAAAACACGATACTAATTGCGGTAAGTAGACTCGTCAACATCTCACGTATAAAGCATCTTTAATGTTATGAAAAGCTGCTCTGTACACTTTACATGGTAATTATGTAATTATCTTAACTGAAAAGTACTTCCGGATTGTTACGAGTACGTTCCCACTGAATTTTGGAAACCTAAATCCACCGATAATCAAAAATTATTACCCTGCGAAGCCCACATAAAGTGCTCAAGAACAGTTATGACGAGGTCAATGATCAGGTATCGCCATATACCTGAATAACAACAGGTGGTCAGTAATACCCATTTGATAGCTGGTATGGAGTCTGTGTCGCTGGAAGACGGATTTTTAACAATAAACTGCTATATTGACTAATCCAGCGTTGATCATATAACTTTTTATATATATTAGTCACGAAATGGCACATATTTTTTAATGAGGTTAAAGACTGAGGAAACGGTACTTTAAATCCAATGCAGTGAGTAAACCCAATCTCTTCTGCGACAACGTGAAGTATTGGAATAACCAGTCGTCGCTACAGCAAATAGGAACAATTTCCATATAGTTTGTCGATAATTGAAATTTCAGCTGAAGGTTTATCAAATAAAAATTTTTGCCTTATTTTCTTGAAACAAACTGATAATAAGTATTACCAATTTTTTATTTTTTAAATATTAAAAATATTAACTAACACTATACTTTTAAAAGAACACTGTATATTTTGTGCAGACGTAGGTTCAACGTTTTTATAGAAATGGTCAAACGAAAATATATAATATAAAATTGAAATACAGGGTGATTCAAAAAGGTGTTGCCAAACTTGAGGGGGTTATAGAGAACATTGCGGAAGAAAATGTGAAACACTAAATTAGGTACGATCATTTGTTACGTGACAACTCTGTTCATTTGTTTCAATACTACTATTCCTCACACTGTCATTCAGATGACATTGCATGGCTAGATTAGATGCGTGCAATAGAGCTTTTATCACACAGTTGTGGATAAAATCAATTTTTACCAACATCGTGTAAGACATGTAATTGGCAAACACTTACATAAACGTGTTTATTTTGTTACAAATCATTTTTTGCGTTATCCTTAATAAAAATTACTTAAATATTAAGATCTCTTGGTGTTAACGAGATAATATAACGTTTTTGGGCAAAAATTTCTCCAGGGCCAAAACGGCTTATTTCCGACTATTTATATGGAAAAAATTTCCTACCACAATCTCCTCTATATCACCCTCGAGTTTGGCATAACCTTTTTGAAACATCCTGTATAAACAATTAGGGCAAGTACTCCCCTATATTTGTTATTGTAATCTTTGTAATAAATTTCAATTTTTGTTAAGTGCAATTTTAAATAAACAATTCTTTTCCCTCAAAATGATGTTTAGTTTTACCTAACTGAACATAATTACACTGAGAAAATGCTAAAGTTAGATATTTTACTGCAAACATTAAACCTATAGCAAGTTATCGATTCGAAAATGAAAAGAAAAATCGAAAACTGAAAATTTTAAATCTAACCTATTATTATTACTTTGTCTCTCAATGTTTAAGTGAAATATCGAACAAAATGTAAAAAGTGACGAAAACGTATTATAGAAAACAGATAGATCGAGTATTAGTTGATTTCTGTGTGTGTGTATTATACAGGGTGTCCCGAAATTCATGCAACAAAATTTGGTCAGAGGTTCTTAAGACAAATTTAGGGGACACGTATTTTCTATTTTTGCCAAGTGGGGGCACTTTTTCGGAGTTACAGCCCCCTGAAGTCCGCCTCTAAGAATATTTTTTTTTTATATCTCAGTACGAGAATGACTAAATTTGGTACACAGGGGTTTTATGACATGTGGAATCTGATGGTACTACGTTTTTTGGCGGGGAACCCCCTTAAGACAATTTCGTGGGCCCTCTTGTCTTTGGAGCTAAAAAAATTTGGTCGCCTATTTAAATTTCTTAAAAATTATCAGTCCATTAGAAAGCCATTAAATTTAGAAACTTTTTGTCCCTTTATAGTTTTTTCGTAAAACGCAATGTTTTCGAGAAAAATGTCAAAATGTGATCGAATACATATCGTGATTCGCCATTTTCCTCAAAAACATTGCGTTTTACGAAAAAAATATCAAGAGACAAAAAAGTTTCTAAATTCAATGGCTTTCTAGCTAACTAATAATTTAAGAAAAAAATCAAATTTGCGACCAAATTTTTCTGGTTCCAAAGACAAGGGGGCCCACGAAAAAGTGTCTTAAGGGGGTTCCTCGCCAAAAAGCGTAGCACTGTGAGATTCCACATGTCATAAAATCCCTGTGTACCAAATTTAGTGATTCTCGTACAACATGGTTTTGAGATATAAAAAATACTTATTAGGGGCAAATTTCAGGGGGCTGTAACTTCGAAAGAGGGGGCCAGTTGGCAAAAGGAAAAAATACGGGTCCTCTAAATTTGTCTTAAGAATCTATGACCAAATTTTGTTGCATGAATTTCGGAACACCCTGTATTATGGGACAAATTAATTTTTAGTTGTTTTGTTTTATAAATATTGTAATCTATATCAAACGATTTTCTTATATTTATAAATTTTATTTTTCTTACTTACAAAAGGAGTTTTATTTTTTTTATTACTATTGTTATAAAATTATTTATGTATTAATAATACATTTCATCTTCCTGGGACAATTATTTGAAATTATACTTCTTGAAGCCAGCATAAACTAGAGTCTGTCAATCGTAGATCTTTTCAAATTAAAGCTTCGAAATCAGTCGGCGTCATTCTCAAAAAGTCCTTGGACATCCAGCATCATCTTCTGTCGTCATTTCTCGTAAAATATTCTGAGGTTGTTGTACTCCATCTCGAGGAATGTCATCCTCGTCTTTTACTTCTTCTTAAATGCAAAAATATGTAATCTGTAAAAGTCCACTTTGGAATATATTCTTTGACACTGATCAGAATGAATTTTCTTGTGTGGACAGACTATTTCTACTCATAAACTTTTGTTCGCGGATAAGCAAGAAATTTTAATTGGCTTTTATTTACGGAAAATGTTTTTGAATCGGGTATTTGTTCAAAAATATTTGTATGTGAGCATTGTCTGAGGATCTTTCTGATTAGGCAAAAGTTAGTTTGTAAAATCAACCCTTTTTTGAGTATAACAGAAATCCCTATTAATATTGAACACTGCATAATTTTTGCCACTCTGATGTCATCTTTAGGGTACTTCCTGTTGCAGTAAGTACGTAATATTGGTATGATGTCAAAGATAGAAGAAATCCATTGGGTTTACATTAGGAAAACGAGATGGTTTTTGAGGTTCCTTATCCACTATTTTCATTTCCCAATTATTATTAAATTTTTCCTTACAGAATTTTCAATTTAAAAGTTTTCATTCAACATCCAGTATTTCATTAATAATACTCCGGTAGGTACCTTTATTAGTTGTTCCTCTTAATTTATTTGTTTACATATACCATTCGTAATGAAGATACGAAATATTAATAAAACTGCAGTAATCAGAGCAAAATAAGTATATGAAACACCAAGCGTCACTCATCATAATTAGGTGTATTCTTCGACAGAAAACGAAACTGATGAAATCTAGGTTTCTCGTATACAAAACGAAAACAAGACTTCGATATTAAACTCAAGTTATGTAATATTCACGATAATAAATATTTTAATGCAACGTCTTCTCTCGATAGGTATTTACACCCATAAATATCTGATTCATAAATCAAAATCACACTTCCACTTCTACATTTACATTCGATACTACTTGTTTATTTGATACATGATATGTCTATGACTTATTAATGGGTTTTGATGTAGGCTCATCTAGACCAGACTAGACTAATTAAACAAATGTTGTTCCGTAATACAAGAATGTGAAACGGTATTATACCTACCTACTGGTTAAATAAGGAATGAAAGTATTGTCGGCTTGTGTTATTTCATTAACCTAATAATCTAACCCAGATCGTGATTGCAGCTAAAAAAAATCGTCAGCCAATCTTATAGAGAATTGATTCATCTTTACAAAAAAAACAAACTTGAGATATTGGAAAATAGTAAGCAAACGTTAATAGCTTTTGATTTATTCTTGAAATTTTTATATTCCTCGGAAAAAGGATATTCCAAAAGTTCAAATCAATGGTATAATTACTAAATCCATCTCTAGTGGATGATGCCAAGGAGGTACTTTTGTTTAACTATCAACTTCCCTTCTCCAGAAAAAGACATACTTGTTAACAATCCACCGGAAATGAATTTACAGTGTCAAGTATATGTTTTTACTGTTGAATCCATCAGACGGAACCATTCTAATGCTCTCTTTAATCATTATAGTTCATATAATTTACTTAACTGTATTTCATCGTGCGAAAAAATTATAAAGGTTCTCACATATGCGAATTTATAAATTCACTTGTTTCCTTTGCATTCCTGATAATTATATCTCACGTATTCTAGCACAAAGTCCTGCAACTTCTATCATTTTTAAACTGACTGAATATAATGTAATTTTAATCTTACGGAAACATTATATTATAACCATAAATGGCTAATACCGGTCGCAGTATGACATAAAGTTATACATTTTCAATTATATTTATTACCAAAGAAACTATTAAAGTCACGAAGGTTCACGTATAATCGTATATCATCCTAGATATTATTAGTTGATTAAAATTAACTTGTTTTAGTTACCTACTTTGAAATTACTACTTGCATAAAAAACTATATATAAATAAATGAAGATAATAACTCAAGCTAAACGAGTATACATCACTTATATTTCATGTTAAAGAATGATCAATTACTGAGTTGAAAATAATACCTAATAGTGGAAAAAGTTGACTGAGTAACTGTTTATTTATTTTTTAAATACGAACGTGATTATCTGTTTTCATTTGCACCTGAACGTTTATAAATTTGTCACAGTTCGTTCATTGTTGAAATTTTTTTATCACATCGTGTTTTCCAATTACATTTCTTAGTCGAATTCTTCTTTTTTCTGTATAATATTAAAAATGTCACGCAAGTGTGTCTTATAGGTAATACAAATTTATTGCTGTATGCTTCCCTACTTAAAGCGACTGCTCTTAGAGAACAATTTCGCAAACGTGTAAAAATAAAATTTGTATATCTATTTACTTCTGTTTTTTATATAAAATATCACACATAATACATAGATTTAATGGGTCTATCTCTAATAGTAAGCGAGATAATGGTCAAATGCTTGTCATATCAATATTTAATCTTTTAGCCACATCTTCCTTACTATAAGAGGTAGACCAATCAAACCTGACATCACTGTAATAGTAATAAATTAGAAGCTTTATGCAAACGTGTAAAAATACAGGGTGTTTGTCAATAAGTGCGAAACACAGTGTTTAAATTTTAATTTTTTATTTATTTTTATTAATTATTTCAAACAGTTTTAAAGATATCGACTGGAAATTTGAAAAGCGCTTTGAAGGGATAAATGTGCATTGTTTAGAGTGATCCGAATATTTCTACTGGCACCAGTGGCATTCGTGCGAGAATGACACAACCTTTTAAAAAAAATGGTACTCCACTGACTTTTTCCCGTTTTTGATATTTTTTTAGAAATCCCCCATCAATTCTGAATTAAATTGATCCCTTCAATTTTTTTCGTAGGATGCACCGTTTTTGAGGAAAAAAATAAAACATATTTTATTGCAAGTTGTGTATTTTTAATTTCTGGATACATTATCTAGCAGGTTGCTGTAAATACTATTTCTAAATAAAATACAACCATCAAATTTCGAGTCGATATCTTTAAAACTCTTTGAAATAATCAATAAAAGTAAATAAAAAATTAAAATTTAAACACTCTGTACCTCGGAAACAAAGCATATTTCAGCCTACGTTTATATGAACTTTTTTTTACAAAATAACTTCGGCAACCACCCCCTAATCTATTTCGCACTTATTTACAAACACCCTGTATATAGTTTTTAACTAATGATACTGTGGGAAACAACTACTCCGCGGACTACAAGCCCTGTCCAGCACTGAAGATATCTATTAAATGGCTAAAATCATTCGTCAGGAGATATACCGGCTTCGAACTTACTGCTTCCCATCAATATGCCACAGGTGATTCGAAAAATATAAAAAAAAAAGCTAAATAAAGCTTATTTATTTGATTTGATACAAAATTTTGACTATATATTCTGTAAAATTCACACTTTTTTATTTAACATTTTTTCTTCAAAAATAACGACTATTTTGTACAGATTTAATTTCTTTCCTATTTTCTATTAAAACAGTCAAACATATTTCAAAAAGAACATCATTTCTAGTTTCCAAAAAGCAGATTGTTTTTCGAAAGGTTAACTAATTACGTGTATTTTTTGTATTTGTCTGCTTTTTCCAAAGTGAGATTTTTGGCTAAAGAAATATGATTTTATAATTTTTTTTATGTAGTAAAATACTTAAATAAACAGAGGATGACTGTAGGTGAGGTACAAAATATAGGAAAACACGCTGTACATACTTATTCATTACAGTAAATATCAATATTTTTATGGCCAGTAAAACAGTCTCCATACCACCACACGTATTTACATATTCAAGATTATTATTGTAATTAACGTAATGGTTTAGGAGAAATTATGGAAAAGCGCTGTATAATAAATTAAAATGAAACTTGATCTATTTAGAGAATTGGTAAAACTGTGCAAGTTCGAGCTATTCACATACACACACATTATTTGAAGTAGAAGTTGTAAACATAATATTTAGAGAAAAAATACTCCTTATTCTCTCAAAACAATTATTGAAGTTTGACGTGAGGTACCTGTAGATTAAATATGAAATATATGTAAGCCTTTTTCTGCATATATAAACTTTACTTGATTTGAAACAGTGAAAAAGTTTCTTTCGTGATTTTGGCGTATGCGCGGGTTACAAATGTTGAAAAACATAAAACTCTTTAAATATGTACATAGATTAAAAACCATTAATTTAGTTAAAGGCGCTATACTATACACGGTGTTAATGATAAGTTTGCCTATACATAAAGACGCTATTAATAATAATTAAACAATTCCATTAAATTCAGGTATTGGACATTATTATATAATTTTGTATTTGTTCATTTAAAAAATCAAAATCTCAACTATAGCCTAATCCAAAAGCCTTCTTATTCTTTCAATGCACATTTTATTGCTGTAATCTTCAACGATGTATTAAAAAAACCCTGTGTAAGTATCAGCAAGCTCAATTTTTTTTAACCTCTAGCCCAATGCTAACTCTAATTAAAACTAAAGTATATTTACCTACTTCAACTCTGATTATACTAATTGTAAAAGTTGTACTTGAATTTAATTTTGGAAATAAAAGGTTGAATACTATTGCCCTAGAGGTATCCACAAGATGTCATTATAGTTTCAAATTTTTTTCTATAACTTAAATTCCAAAACAAGTTATATAATAATTGGAATAGTTTTTTTCATGGATAAACGCTTTTAAAAAGTAACCCTATAGCGCTTCTCTGTGCAAGAGTAGGATATGTTTTTTTAGGGGAAGGAAGATTTTTCACTATTTTTTTTAAATTCGAATTTTTAGAATTTTGTCACAAACGACAATTTTTAACAAAAAATACTCTTGTAAAAGTTCGTAAAATTGATAGTCTTGAGATAATTGTGGTTAAAAAATGTTCAAGATTTTGCGTGTGTCAAAAAATTATTGTATATTGTATATTGTATTGTATATTGTATATAACTATTGTTCCTTAGCTCTTTTCTTTGATTCATGTTTTCGGAATTGTAACGCGTTACGATCCGATGGAAACCAATCAGGTTGCTAGATTTTGGATCGTAACGCGTTGTGATTCTGAAATCATGAATACAAGAAAAGAGCTGTAATCTGCTATTTTACGGATGTATAAGTAGTACATTTAATGTGTTAGAGAAAGAAAATTAAACCTACGCAAATGTGGAATCAAACATTTTTTTAAGCCACGCCATAGGTAATTATTTTCATCGGTTGAATACGTCAATGAAGTCTGATCAAATTCATTATTAACACCCCGCATACACTTCGCAGAGAAAATGACCTTTGAAATTGGGGTTAATTTTTAGTGGTGTCTTAATTTTGATATACGAAGCGTATCTATATCGGAACGGAAAAAGATAATTCTTTAATTTTTTCTTTCAGGTCACAACAGTAGTATGCACAATAATAAATACGACGTTAGCGAAAATCCCCACAAAATGTGAAGGCGGAGGAGGGCTGAAATATCTATGGGGTGATGCACTAATGGACAGCCCAAACTGTGTGGGTCCAGACAATATGCCATATCCAACGTAAGTCAAAGTCAGATATCAGTTAGAACCAGATGTTTTGCCATCAATCATTATTCAAATAATTACTTGTGTGTTTTAAGATCATTTTCAGTTTATTTTCCTTATGAAGTGCATCTTTTAGAAAGGCATACGACCAAAAAACGAAACAGCAGTTATGATAGTGGACATTCTCATGTTATAGGACACAAAAAAGAAATAAAACATAACATAAATTACAGTACTTTGTCTCTCGTTCAGCACCTGTTAAATCAAGTAAATGAACCACATGTGTGTGTTAATGATAATGATAGATGAGTGAAATATGACCCACTAAACTGAAACTGATTTAGTTCTGCTTTGCTTATTTCAGAAGTTGCATTACCAGTAACAAACCAGGTCTGAACTCATAATAAAAGTAAAATCAACATGACACCCTTTTTATTTTCCTATTTCAGATTTAATAAAAAAGAGAGAAAAAATATGTGAAGTTCTTATGATCCATGACTAGCAGTGTTTGTTCATATTTAAAAATTTAACAATAAATAATTGTGAAAAATGGGATGTTAGTATCAAATTAAAATTTAAATAGTTCTCTTTATGGGACAAGAAATCATTTCCTAAAAAAAACCGACTGCGTCGATGTAACAATGTTGTTTTTTTTTTAATAATCATTGAGAGCATTGCAAACATTCTGCTCTGCATGGCAGTAATATTGGATATTTTCAACGTGTATAGCGAACATAGCTAGCAAGCGCTCTGTGTAGATCTAGCATTAAATGGGCGTGGCCAGACAAAATGCGTACGATATATTACTACTATATCGTACGCATTCTATATACTATGTTCGCGATAACAGATACGTAGCTAATATAGCGCTGAGTGTGGCCTTAAATTAATGTTGTCTTCATGTACTTAACACGCCTCAATATGTCTTAGTGCAGCCATTGAAAGATCCTTCAGAGGATCCAGCCCGTGGATGGGAAGTGCACGAACAGGACGATCTCAAAGGACGATAGATCCTTTCCTTACGAGGAAAGCGTTGCTGGGAGCTTACGAACATAGTACAGGACATGAACCTGTTATAAGCAGACAAGGTAAGAGCTCTTTTTGTGGATTGTTGTAAAATATGACACTATGGTAGATTTATTACATAGCTTTATTATTAAGAGACAAAGTTAACTGAAATATTTATATTTATATTTATTCTATTAAGTAAAAACAAGATTTCTGTATCTGTTAAACAGGGGCAACTGTAGTTTGTTCTATAAAAGGGTCACAGCCTACTTTTCAGAAAAAATGTAAATACCTACATAATTTTTTGGTTATAAATTATGATATTTAAAGAAACGTTAACTTCAATTTTAGCAGCATATTTTTACTTTTTATACCTTGAAGCCAGTCCTGGTTTTAAAATAATAACTAATAACGAGTATAAAACAAGAAAATATATGCTTAAGCTTATGGGTAAAGTTTAAAGTAACAGAACATGGTAATATTCTCATCGTCAATCGTGTAATCATCACATTGTTCAGAGGATGTTAAACTGACAGTGCCCATTACTTCACTAATTATATACAGTTACATTATATTTTTATTGCTACTTGAAAGAAATTTTCCATGGACTACTTTTTCTAATGTTAAAATATTCACACAATGGAACAATTTACAGTGTCCAGTAAAGAACGTGAGATGTTTTAAAGTAGCAGCTTCGGTCAAAATAAACTGATTTAAAACAAGTTAAGTTATTACAATTTTACTTCCTTAATTTTTTTTTATTTTACTTTTTCAAAATAACTGTCACTTTTAAAAATATTTCAATGTAATTTGGTATAGAGGGGGGGCTTTTGGGATAGCTGAATATGAATATAAGCTTATTTTTTTGCCTAAAACATACAGAATACCTCAAACAGTATTTTGTTTTTTTCTGTAATTTTCTTTGGTGGTAGAGATTTTTGAGAAAACGCACATGTTTTTTGGAACATCACTTTATTTACTCCAAAAAAGGTATACTGGCTGCATTTAGATTTAGATATTTCTTTTTTTTACAGTAAAAAAGTGATGCTTCAAAACAAACACCAAAAAATATATGTTTAAAGTATTCTTAAATACGGCACTGTTTTAGGTAAAAAGAAATATCACATTCGTAATCGGCTACCTCAAAAACTCCTCATACCAATTTCATCGAAATATCTCAAAAGCTTACGGAGTTAGGTTAAAAATAATACAAAAACATTATTTAACTTTTTAAAGAAGCAAAATTGTAGTAACGGGAACTAAATCGGTTAATTTTGACACAAAACTCTTGACGTACCTATATGTCCCGTAAAGAACGTGACATCCTGTACATACATTCGTACATATCTTATTATTTTTACGTTAACGCGGATTTTGCAGTTTATATTCTTAAATTCTAATGGTATGCGTATCTAAAAATCCCGAATTATACATATGTACATTACCTATTTAAAAAAACATTGACCAAAATTTAAGTCTGGATGAAAAGTACGTATCTACTTAAATCGTTATCTATTCATTTTAAAGTGGACACGACATTATTTATACATATACCTACTCAACTTGTCTAAGTTAAGACTGGGTTAAGGTACCTATAGCTTGTTTGTTAAGGTATGTATCTACAGCTAGACCATTTTTAAAACACTTTCTTTAGTCTAAATATGAATGGCAACAAACCTGAAAGTTATAAATGTACTCTCATTAATATTGATTTCTTTAAAATTATTGTTCCTTTTGCTTTTAGCATACAGATTATCGCACATTAAAACATTAGGGTCATTCAATAAAAGTTCAAAAACGTTCTTATTTTGTATATCTACACAAAATATTGCTCATGATTAGGTGATCCTGAAAATTTTGACTCAATCCGTTGAGCCGTTTTCAAACTACTTATATGATTTTTAAAATGCGAATATTTGTCTCAGCCGTGGCAATGCAATGACGTCACCGCATGGGACGGTCAGCCGGCTTGGCGCTACTTCCAGATGAGTTCATGCAACTACAGAATGTTTTAGCATTTGTGCATATTAAATTTAAAAAATGGAAGCAAATTTCGTAAAAGCAGATTCTTCAAATTTGCCAAAAGTAGATTTGTTAATGGTTATGGATTTCTGTAATAAAAACCACGGCTTTTGTCAGTGCTTCAGCTTCTCTTCTTTAAAGTACGTTTGTAGCGAAAATTTTTATGTTTTTGTACATTGAGAATACTATAAGACTAAGGATTTTCGTTTAATTGGACGAAACCGTTTCTGTCGCAGGTTTCAAATACAAAATTCTTATTACTACTTTTATCCCCATGGAAACTACATAAAATCTACCTAATATCTTATAAATATATTAACAATAGGTATGATATTTATTATGTATTTTTATATAAATATTTAGTACCTACAAACCTATAGGTATTTGTATAATATTCACAAAATCAATAATGGAAAACACAAGTGTATAGTGTTTCTAAAAGATACAAACGTATTTTATTACATACCTAAATTACGCAGGACGCAGGGTAGTTTTGTTGATTTCAAAGTAAGTCATTTTTCAAATAAAAGATATTAAAATAAACAAAGTAGAGACTAATAGACTATTGATTGTAGATCCGCACCACAGAATTACGCGAACATTATTATTTTGTTAGGCGTCTTCACATTAGGGAACAATACAATATTTGTAATTTTTTCTGTTCTGTGTATTGTTAACAAAATTCGGTATCGTAACGTACTCAATCGAAACTTAACAGGAATCTAAAACCCGACTACCCGACTGACTGACAACGTCTGTGCTAACAACACACGCAAGCATGCGGCATCGGTTTCCCATGCGGTGACGTCAGACCCGCCGGTTCAACGGATACTCAGCGCGCCAGTTTATGATTTTTTTTTTGGATGACTTGTAAATCGATATAAAATTCAAATTTTTTGCAGAGATCCTTAAAATTGCAATATCTTTCCGTTAAGCAAATAAAGAAAAATGCTGAATGAGCCCATTCTTATAAAAATTGTAAATATTGTTTCTCTGATTCCATTGAATATAAATAACTAAAGTTTGCGATTTGTCAATTTACGCTTGTATACATTGTATTATTGGCCGTTGTTGGTATTACCAACCTAATTAGATAATAACAGAATTGCCAATGTAATGTAGAAAAGATCCAAATTCTGAAACCAGTTCTCCAATTTTAATAATATTTTGAGGTATCCTAACGAAATGTAATTATGTTATTCATATAACCCTATTAGCTATTTTATTCTCATTTACAAAATATATTTATATCTTTATTCCTGTATAGTTTTTATTTTGTTCTTAACCAATTTTAAAATTTTTGTTTCGCAATGCAATACTTACATGCATTCACAATTATTTTAAAAGAAATGTTTTTTTAGCACGAAATGCGAATGTTTCTCCTGCCAATATGTGTGCAGGAACACCAGCAAGACTGTGCAAAACCCGATATAACACCACCGCTCCAATGTATGGTGTATCTTTAACATCAGGACAACCAGTGACAATCGTACAAAAATTTCCTGATCTGTTACAACAAGTAGTTTTCGAGGTATGGTTCTTTATTATTAGTATTTCAGTCAATGTAATAATACATTATAATATGTACAAACCAATAGACATTAAAGAGATAAACAAGTCAACCATGTTGAAAATGAGTTCTTCTTCTCTGTTCTGTGGATCTGTGGGTGCGGCGGGATTTTTAAATTTCTTCGATAAACTATTTGATGCACATTTTCTTATGAAACAGATTATTTTATTATTTAACTTCACCTTCATAACTTAACTATTTATTTACTAAAAATAACATAATTCACAAATAACAGAAAACAGATTATACAGATGTAAAGATTATACAGAAGTAAACAACCACCGCCACGTTCTAAGGAAGTAGATTGGTGATGCACGTAAAAAAATGGTTATCGATAATTATATCATGCTTTAACTGATCTGATTTGTATATATTACATTGTGGTACTAATAACAGTGCATAATATACAGGGTCGGAAAGTCCCCATGGTTCATCCGCCGTTACGTGAGAGCGATAAAGTAAGTCATAAAAATCTGTGCGATAGAGAAGGCCGGCTACAATGAAGGCGTCTCATACTCACCGCCCGTTTCACCCTTCCACAAATAAGATCCACTTCCACTTGTAATTCAGCGACCGGTGGTCATCTTTGTTTTCGTCGTTTGGTTTTTCTTTAATAGATGTCACTACTTATACAATTTCGACTTCGGTATTCCGATATGTTAATACCATCCGTTAACAGAGGGAAGCACAACGCGTAACAAAGAAAACTTTTTACAGTAGCTAGTAGATACCTCTATTTGTAAATCTAGTGACCTTGTTTCCACTACTGAGAAGTTATTCAAATGCAGTGTAGTGCTCAGCTGCATTAAAAGTTCATTTAGTTGTTATTTAAGTATACTTTTTAAAAAAACTTAAAAATCCCAAGAAATACAGCAAAATTCCCTATTTACCCAATTCCAAAAAAATCTGTAGATCTGGCATCACTCTTTCTAGGGCTGCACCTTAGACAAATTGTGTTGCCCTCTGTTAACGGATTGTATTAACTATCGGAATACGAAGTCGGAGTTATATTCGTAGTGACATCTATTACAGAAAAGCCAAACGACGAAAACAAAGATGACCACCGGTCGCTGAATTACAAGTGGAAGTGGATCTTATTTGTGGAAGGGCGAAACGAGCGGTGACTATGAGACGCATTCATTATAACCATCCTTCTCTATGGCACGGATTTCTATGACTTACTTTATCGCTCTCACGTAACGGCCGATGAACCATGGGGACTTTCCGAACCTGTATAAGTATTTTGTAATAAGAGCAATAATAAATCTATAACATATATTCTGTTTTAGGTTTGTGAAAGTTCTGAATGTGATGTAGTTAGAGGCGAATGTACGCAAACGTATGTTCCTTATTTGTTTTTGGTAATTCCTTTGGGACCTGTAACCCTTACTGGGCAAGATTATGTGCTGGTGGAGAGTGGGTGTGTATGCAGGCCAAAATACGCATCTCAAACTAATCAAGAAGCCAGTGCAATGTCTTCGATACCCAGACTATGATAGAGAGGAGAACAGTGTGAATGGAAAGTTGTATGTTAAAGTGCTACACAAATCGCAATGTGCTCATATTTATTTAACTTTGTAAGATATTTATTTTTTAATTTAAATTTTAACTGTAAGAATGTATTTATATGAAATATAAATAAAGTTTTTTTATTTTTATTTGACCAGTTTTGTAAACCTTAACATTTTAACGATAAAATTGCTACATAGTGAAGATATTAATATTAAAAATTTGTAATCTCAAAATATAAAACATTTTGTATACAGGGTGTTTTTGAATGGCGTAGCATAAATGATACCAGTGAATCTACATTTCAAAAGAACACGATCTGCAAAAAATCGCCTTAGTAAAATGACCCCTGAAGAGATATGGGCCATCAAAGTTTCCAAAAAAATTATGAAAATTGGCTGTAATTTGAAAACCGAACAAGGTACAAATAATAAATTTTTTACAGGTTGTTTACTAATACAGATGAGAGTTTTCAACTATTTTTCGAAAATTTTAAGCCCTCGAAAGGGGTTGAAATAACTACCCCTCAAGACATTTTTTGCCATAACTTTTATATTTCGCAAAAACTCGATATCCAAAAATACGCATTAGATAAACTGGTTCTTTTAGAAACTTTTACCTCTCTAGCAATTTTCCTTTAAAACTTTTCGTTTATTAATAAAAAATAAAATGTATTACCATTCACCTCACACCGTATATGATTGCAATCAATCAAAGAAAAACTAAGTGTGCTGCTGTCATGCCAGTTGTTACAATTAACTCTTCTGTAAGTTGTCACTGTTATCAGCTAAATACTTTATGGGTGTAAATTAACAAGAATTATGCCAAATTTTACTAATGATGAATATGCTTGCTTCCCTACTTTGTTGATTTATTAAAATAAATTTATACTAGATTTAACTAAATTTTATGGTAACAGCCATAATACGGACTTATACCTTTATAGCAACCAAATATCATTTGAAAAATTGGCCGCCAGAACTTGACTGATAAATTATGTTATATTAATTTATTATGGCTATATTATTCTATACCGTATAGAAAGATCATCAGGGACATCTGTACTTTTGCGCTAAAGCCAACTGCAGAATCCATTCTTATTACGTTTACGTTTACAATCCGTGTAGTATTACCACTGTTAAATTTGATTTTTGTCATTTTATTTCTTACAAGTATATAAAGTATTATTAAAGTAAATGCACTTGAATTTAGTTCCCTTCAAACTGTTTTGGATTACTTTAGAAACAAAGCTATTAAAATTTCTGAACGTACCTGGTTTAGATAAAATTTGAGTGAGGAGCATGCGCTTTCAATTCGATATTGAATTTGTGAACAAACGCGTTCTTGGTTATCCTTTTTATAGTCGACATGGCGGACAACACAAAAAGCGTGGCTTCTGCCGTAATTTTTGATTATTTGAACAAACAGGACAAAAACTTAGCCTCTGTTTTTCAAAAGAAAACCAATGCGGTAAGTGTCTAATTTAACTTAAAATATTTAATGTGTTTTAAACTGTTGTACTTTCATAAATAATTCAGAGCTTCGTGTGTGTTCATCCACCACGTGTTTTTTGTTCTACATTCACCTAAATTTAATTTGAAATAGTCAGTGTGCTCCAGAATTCGTTACTGTTATTAATATTTGAAAAGTTTTGAATGTTCCTATGTCTCCTGGCTTTAAACTCGTTCAATTAAAATTTTATTTAATTTGAGTTTATTTTGTTAAAACTTCTATTTTTCCTTTATTTTTAGAGTGGACTTGTGAAGGGAGCACCCACCTTTAATGAAATATTGACTCATTATTTAAATTCTGGACCGAAAGCAAAACAAATTAAGCTACAAACCGCAGAAAGTGATGAGAGTAGCAGTGAAGAGGAAGAGGCACCAAAGCCAAAACTTTTAAATGGCGTACTAAAACAAGGTAAACCAGGCCAGAAGAAACAAAAATCTAGTAGTGACGACAGTTCCGAAGAGGAGGAAGTTAAAAAACCTACAGCAAAGCCTGTAGCACAGAAACAACCAGCTAAACCACCACAAAAAAAACAAGAAAGTAGTTCAGAAGACTCTTCCGATGAAGAGGAAGCAACTAAACCTGCTCCTAAAGCGACAGTAAAACCTATTGCTAAACCAGTTCAAAAGAAAAAAGATAGTTCATCTGAGGAATCTTCCGAAGAAGAGAAGGTGCAAAAGCCTGCTGCAAAACCTGTCCAGAAACAACAACCTGTCAGTAAAAAACAGGAAAGTAGTTCAGATGATTCTTCAGATGAAGAAGAAACTAAAAAACCTGCTGCTAAGCCTGTTCAACAAAAAGTAAATAAACCTGTTCAGAAAAAACAGGAAAGTAGTTCAGAGGATTCTTCGGATGAAGAAGAGCCTGCAAAACCAGTTCAGAAACAACCACAGAAACCAGTGCAGAAGAAAAAGGATAGTTCAGAGGAAGATCCTTCAGATGAAGATGAGACTCCTCCACAAAAACCTGCAGTGAAGCCTGTAGCAAAACCTGTACAGAAAAAACAAGTAAGTAGTTCCGAGGATTCTTCTGAAGATGAAGCGCCCAAAAAGACAGTTCAGAAAACTGCAAAGCCGGCAGCACCACAGAAAGCACCAGTGGTGGCAAAATCTGTTCAGAAGAAACAGGAGTCCAGTTCAGATGTAAGTATTGTTTTACCAGTAATATTTTTTTTGGATAAATTCAAGTAATTTGTTGATTAATGCTTAATGTGTTAATGTTACAGGATTCATCCGAGGAAGAGGAAGCTACTCCTAAAAATAAAAACCAGAAAAGTGCAAAACAGGCAGTTCCTCAAAAAACGCCTGTGAAGGCAGTGCCAAAACCTGTTCAAAAGAAGGCAGAATCTAGTTCAGAAGTAAGTACATGTAATGTGGTAAGTGTGTATGTTCAATATGAAACACAAATCAATTTCAAAGATATTTTAAAAAGAAGCCTAAAGTGTTTCTGTTAGATTTGACAACAGCATGTATGGTTGTGTTGTGTTAAAGTAAAAGATTTGTATTTGGCAACTAGGTAGGTTAAAGATGTGACACATTTTTTCCAATCCGACGTTCCCCAAATACTTCATTTAAATGTCAGACATCTTGAAAAATATGTGTAATCGCTCCATTGTGTAAATACATTTTTTTTTGTCGAGTGGAAAAGATCTGAATATTTATGTTGCGTTAGTCTTCTGGGAAGAATTGACAATTAAATAATCCACTAGGCCGACGTGAACGTTAATAGATTTGTTTGTAAATTAGTCTGGACAACCTCCGTCGTTTAAGTATTTTATGTACACTGCAGCTCGTTGATACACAATTCAAATGCAATTCTTCTTAAGCTTCTACTGGAGTTATTGTCAACAATATGAAGGGTCTTAACTTTGAATGAGTCATATTTATAGAGGATAATTTGTTTTTTCAAATTCCGTCGTGAGAACTAATTTTTTTTACTTTTTTTTTTGTAATTTTTCATATCCTGCTGCTGGAGCATAAACTCACTTGAGAGTTATGAGATTCCCGTTTCTCCAAATTAACTTTTGTCGTTTGTTCTTTTCGCTCATCTAACGCCCAAGTATATTACGTGAATTGATACTATGTAGTTCATATAAACTATGTCATTGTCAGAGGTCATTCATACTGAAATTCACAAACCTAACGCAGTGCTTTCTAAAAATAGTAACAAATACTTTTTATTCAAAAGTTGAAATGATTTTAAAAAATATTTCAGATCTATCAGATTAGTATTTTAATTTTATTATGGATTCTTTATAAACCAGCAAAAGTAATTATTTTGAAACAAATAGTTTTTCTTACAATTAGTAACATCAACATTCATATTAGGGTGGCCCAAAAACAACTATTTTTTTTTGTCTTGTGAAAATATATTAGTTTATCATGTTTTAAGTTCCCTCAAAAAATCAGCTAAAAAAAAATTTTTTAGAGGTCGCTCAAGATTTTTAAAAATTTCCAAAATCGTCAAAAATGTAATTTTTAAAAAATTTTTTTTCTCATTATTTTATCATTTTCTAGGTGGAAAAAAATCTCGATTCTGAAAATTTCAAATCGATATTTTAATTTCTAAAGGTCACTCATAATTATTTTAACTTTAAAAGCAGTATACCTAAAATGTTTTCGAGCGACCTCTAAAAAAATTTCTCGAGGTAAAAGGACCCCACACTTTTCTTATGGGAAGTGGGTTTCGGCCAATTTTTTTGAAACTTCGCAGATAGATAGTTCTTAACATGTAGATCAAAGGTCTCATTGGGCACAAATCCCCAAATCCACCCCTTCCCTGCCAAAAACTGACTCCAGGTAGGGAGGGGTGTAATTGTGGAAGGGCGAAATGGGCGGTGACTATTAAGACGCCTTCATTATAGCCATCTTTCTCTATCGTACGGATTTCTATGACTTTATCGCTCTCACGTAACGGCCGATGAACCATGGGAACTTTCCGACACTGTAGATATATACGTGTGTTAAGTTTAACAGCGTTTTGCAGCTTGAATATTACTTTTTCGAAAAAAACAAAAACTTTTTTAGATTTTATCAAAATAAATAACTGACTTGAAATATTTTTTCATAAAATGACAAATAAACTTTCTACAGCTATATAAACAATTAAATTGTTAATAACAATTTTCCTGACCCGATTCCGTAAAATTGAGTTGCAGATTCTAATTTAGCGTGAAAAAATATGCGCAAAAAATATACGTGCAAATATACGTGCAAAAAATACGTGCAACTATAAAATACAGTAATCTGGAAAATCCGTAGGCTGATTCGTGGGGGGCGGGGTCAAGTGGGGTAGTTTGATAGTCAAAAATGTGGTTGTTTGGGGTCGTTGTTGGGTTGATGTTAAATCCCCCTGCTACTTGGAGGCAGTTTTGGGGGGAAGGGGTGGATTTAGGGCCTTGTGCCCATTGAGACTTTTGATCTACGTATTAAGAACTATCATCCTGCGAAGTTTCAAAAAAATTGGTCGAAACCCACTTCGCATAAGAAAAGTGCGGGGTCCTTTACTACCGCATTGCGAGTATCAAATATTTATAATTTTTTAATTTTTTAAAATATAAGTGTTGATTTATTTCTATTCTTGTTCATCAAATTCAATAAAAAAAATTATTAGTTCGTTGATATTTATTTTTTAGAGGTCGCTCGAAAACATAGATACACTACTACATAAAATAATTATGAGTAACCTTTAGAAATTAAAATATCAATTTGAAATTTTCAGAATTGAGATTTTCTTCAACCTAGAAAATGATAAAATAACGAGAAAAATATTCTATTTATGACGATTTTGGAAATTATTAAAAATCTTGAGTGACCTCTAAAAAAATTTTTTTTTGCCTTGTTTTTGGTTTTAGCGAATAAAGCGAAAGCGAAATTTTGGATTTTCGATTTTTGTTTTTGCGAAATTAGATTGTTTTTTTTGCGCAAATTAGTATCCCTAATCATAACAAATAACCTAGCATGTGGTTAACGTCTGAAATCCGGTTACCATAAATTTGTCATGATATCCAATTGTTACACAATATTGACAAATAATGTTTTTTATATTTTTGCATAGAATAAGCCAATGCTTAAACAAGTAAATTGTGTTTACATTTAAAAGCAACGAGCGTTCAAATAAAACGTGGTCAAGTTGGTTCTGAAAATTTGGACGTAGGGCGTAGCGTATAGCAAATGAACTTAAACGTCATCTGTCAAAGCGCTATATCGCCGCTATCAATTTGAATATTTTCGTTTTAAAAAGCGTTTAAAATGGTGTTTTCTCAAGAACAAAAAGTGTTTATCATAGAGTCCTACTTTAGAAATGGACGCAAGATTGATGGAATATGGAAGTATTCTATTGAGGAATGTTTCATAGAATTTCAAAATCAATTTCCCGGCGTTGTTGAGTACAAAATTTTTCAAAGTGCAGTTCAGCGTTGTGTTAATGTTTTTCGTGAAACGGGCAGTGTAACAAGAAAAGAAGGAAGCGGCCGACCTAAAAAGCGGACTGAAGAATTAAAAGAAAATGTCCAACAAATAATGGAAAATGCGCCAAGAACTTCTGTACTTGTTTTATCACAAATGGTGGGAGTATCAGCCGGTACCTGCCACACTGTTAAAAAAAGATTTGCGTTTGTTCTCCTATAATTGTTTGTTATTGTTATCACGATTATTCTTTAAAATAAAGTTATATAGTCATTAACGTTATTGAAACTGACAGCTGCTATAAAGCTCGTTGAGAAATGAGGTTAACTTGGTCGCTATAAGCTACTCCCTTTGTCCAATGTGTCAGAGCCAACTTGGACCACGTTTTTATTTGAACGCTCGTTATTTCCTTTCATTTCGTAAGTGTTGATTATTAACTTAATCTTCAGTTTAGATTTCTCGACATTTGAAAAACATTTCTGCCTTCAGAAGAAATGTTGAAACTGTTTGCAGTTCTTGATATTTTGAGAAACATATTGTTCTCTTCACAAAAAACTATCAGAGGTTTTTCTATAGAAAAGGACTTTTAAGTCCCTGGAAACATAAACTCTAAACTGATGAAGCCGTAATCATACCAGACACTGTTTAACTATTGACAACTGCTATGAAAACCTCCAAACCATTCCATACATTTTTTTAATTTAGGTCTCATGCTGTTATACATGTATGTACTAAATGTATGTCACTCATACAGGGATCACCTCGTATTATTGGTAGAATAGTACTATCTTAATTGAATATTTTATTTCAGGACTCATCAGATGAGGAAGAAGCTCCCAAGAAAGCTGCCCCTGTGAAACCGACACCCGTTAAAGTACAGCCAGCAAAAGTCACGAAGGAAAGCAGCAGCGAGGACTCTTCAGAAGAAGAAGAAGAACCCAAGAAACCGGCGGTTAAAACACCAGCAAAACCAACACCAGTTGCGAAGAGGAAACATGAAAGCAGTTCGGGGGACGACTCCGAAGATGAAAAGCCCCAGCCCAAAAAGCAAGCAGTCACTCCTGCGAAGAAGGCAAAAGAAAGTAGTTCTGAAGAAGAGAGTTCAGAAGAAGAAACTAAAGCTGTAGCCGTTAAAAAACCAGCAGCGAAGGTCGCCACTCCGGCAAAGAAACCAGCACAGGAAGAAAGTTCCGAGGAAGATTCAAGCGACGATGAGGAAACGGTTAAAGTTCCACCAAAACCGCAAGCGGCTCCTAAAAAGGCAGCGGCTAATAAAAAATCAGCATCTTCGGATGAAGATGAAGACGATGAAGAAAAACCACCCAAGAAAGTAGCAAAGGTCGGCAGACAGGAATCAGAAGAACAAGAGGAAGAAGTGGAGTTAAAAATTAAAAAACCGAAATATGACAACTTTGTTAAAGCCGGGCAAAATAACAGCTTTAATGGGAACAATTGGGTGAGTAATTACATTTCGCTCTCAATTCATTTCCGATTCTTGTATGAATTTTGTTGTACGAAGGTTGCCTTTTATATTTTGGGAATATATATTTACTCAAAATGTTTTGACGTTGTGTTGTTTACAGTGACTTGAAAAATTAATCTCGGCCAAAAAATGGAATTAAGTCGTGAACATTTCCGTGCGATTATTTTTTACAACTTTTGCTGTGGATTATCTCAACAGTGCATCGATGAACTTAATTCGAATTTTGGCGATGAAATGCCATCAAAAATCACTGTATATCGATGGTATACGGAATTCAATCGTGGTCGCGGTTCGCTCAGTGATGAATTTCGTGAAGGTCGTCCAAAATCGGTTGTTGTTCCAGAAAACATTGATTGGCCTCTAAAAAATTTAGCTCGTGTCGATTGGTCAAAGGAAATGCTTTAGAAATACGATCACTATGCTTCAAAACACATCTGTATCGTCTCAACAGGTGACGAATCGTGGCTCTATGCTTGTGAGCCCAGCAGTCAACTGTATGGGTCTTTCAAGATGAGCCAAATCCAACAAAAGTTGTTCGGAAAAACTGGGCATGTGGTAACTGTACCATTAGTGCCACGTCGGACGGTCAATTTTGAATTGTTCACAACCATTTGTTTGACAGAAGTCTTCAGAAAAATAAGGGAAATCAAACGCCGAAGATTCATTGTTCTTGGAAATAAGAGCTCTCACACATCGGCTCAAATAAAAGACTTTTTGAGAGCTGAAGAAGTCAAATTGATGAGCCATCCACAGTGCAGCCCTGATTTGGCACCCAATGACTTTTTATTCCCACACATCAAACATAAATTACGAGATCAACGGTTTTTGATGCCTGAAGTGTTCAAAATGGCACGTTTTTGAGGTGGTTCAATCGGAATGGAAAAAGTGCTTCGAAAATTGGTTCAAATGCATGCAAAAGTGTATCTTTATGGAGAATATTTTGAAAGACGATAATAGTAAGCTACATATTATTTTTTTTCCCTCTATTCATGAAATATTAAAGGCAACCCTCGTCTATTTCTTATCCTCTTCATACCCAAATTATTTCCAATTTGAGATAAATCATTTTAGCAGTCATTTAAGAGATTTTATTACTTAGAAATGTTTGTTTGGTGATTTTAGCAAAAAAATACTCCATTCCGAAGGGTGAGAGATGAAGAGGTGCAAATAGATCCACGATTAAATGACAATTCTTTTGAAGCTAAGGTAACGTGCAATCTCGAAAGGGTGCAACGGATAGCGCGAACTCTCTACAGGGTTTGTAGTAGTGTATCAGAAACACATCGTAATGATATTAAAAAGATCCAATCATTTTGGAGTTTGCACGTTGCCTAATGGATGGTTCGCCTGTCTGTTGTACTAATACAGTTTTTCTTTCTTTCCATATTTGCCCCCGTACTTGATCTGGAATGTACCCTGTCTCTTTAATTGAACCACCATAAAATTTCGCACGCTAGAATGATGATCGTAGAAATTCGTTTGGCGGTCGAGGGGGCAATCGAGGGGGTAATCGTGGGGGTAATAATAATAACTTCCGCGGTAACAGAGGTGGCCGAGGGGGAAATCGGGGAGGATTTAGAGGAAACCGCGACGGTGACGGAGACGGTGGCGGTAGGAATTCTTTCGGTGGGTTTAACAATCGAGGTGGTCGAGGAGGTGGCGGTTTCAGGAAATCGTTTGATGGTAACGATAGGGGAGGACGTGGTGGCGGAAACTTCAGGAACGATAGGGGTGGGCGAGGAGGCGGCGGCTTTAGGAAGTCCTTCGGTGACGGAGGTGGCGGGGGAAGGGGCGGTTTCGGTAACAAAGGGTTCAATCAGAGAGACAGTTTTGGATCAAAGCCTGCAGAGAATAAGAAGATAACGTTTGACGATTAGATGTGTATACAATTTTAATTTAGATGTAAGTATATTTTGAGCTAACTAGTTTTTTTATTAATTAATTCCATTTTTATTCAATATGAGAAGTATACAATGTGTCCTACCCTGATATCTTGCTCGCCTGATATCCGAATATTTTGAATCTTTGGTGGTGAATATAGGTACCTATAAAGTGTGTCTTTAGATTTGGATGTAACTGTAACCTGATGGGTTATTTATTTAACCATCTACCATTATGACCAGTATCATATCGATATTAATTTGCAAAAAAGTTTACCATTTACTTCTCGAAAGGGAGTTTATAATTATCATTACACTTTAATTAATATGTGGGACCTTAGAAATGTGGTATGTTCAGAGAATGAATACAAGACACTTACCGTATGTTGCTCATGTACAAGGTAATCCAGTTATTGGTTGTATAGGCTGACACTTAAATTGGAAGAACAAGAAAACACCAAAACATTCCAGGAAGGTTATAATAACAATAAAAACAAAACAACGGTAACACAATAGTCTCGAACAAACATTCATTCATTTACACGCAACAGTGTACCCAGATTCAGGGAATACAAGATCCATAGCAAAAATTGGAAAAACTTTATCCATTATTAAATTAACCCGAGACTCTAAAACTAAGTAGGCTGCTTAATGTGGGACCCAAGGAGAAATTGCCCTTTTTGGAGATCTCTCCTGAATTCGACATTGCGCTTCGACATGCCCATTTCTTGGATTCTGAAATTTCGGTTCTCATCTTATTGGCGGGATCTCTGAATATAGGGACGTTTTGGCATAACTATACCATGTTAATGTTATCTAATTAACTGAATTTACAATTATCTAAATAATTTTGTGATTAAACCGAACTTACAAGTAACCCTACACCTTCCTCTTGTGATTCCGTATAGCAACACGGGACTGATTAGTCAGTTTCATTTAATCTATTCTTATAGCTTGGAAAATCTGCCTAAAAACCAGCTATTTGATCTATTATTATTTTCCTCACAATATTCTAATAACTTATTTAATTATCTTGTAATTTCTACATATTTGCAAACGTATTTCGTACGTTATTAGAAATATCGATTCTTCCCTTCACCATGGGCTGAACTGATGCAGTTAGTCGAATACCAGATGCCCGATACATGGCCCCGACTATCTAAGTCTACTTGTTCAAAAACATTGCTGAATTTTATAAGCCTTCGAAGGACAACTTTGCAAATTTCAAGAGGCACTAATCTCTCGACGACGCTAAACCTACTTGAAAACCCTTAACTTTTAATTATTTGTTGACTGAAATATCTTACTGTCTGAGTTGGCCCATCTGTTCTGAGAACTAACAAATAAACTACCACACATCCAGTTTTTGTTACGTAACCATATTTGATTGTAGTGAGAGGTGTCTGATTCTGAGATGGAAAAAAGGCTCGATTTAAAAATAAAAAAGTATCTGCAATTTTTTTGGAAAAAAAACTAGTAAGGTACTCTTAATCAGCACCATTAGAAACCCCTTTGTACAAGATTACATCTTTGTGGGTAAAAGATGTTTGAGATATGGGCGGTCAAAAAAAAAAAATTATCAACTTAAATTAATTTGAATCTGTAAAACGAGCTCTCAAATTAAAAAAATTTCTGTAGTTTTTGTTTGGAATAATGTATCGTACTGGTATGAAATTATTCTACAACAAAATAATTTTTTTAATAAGGCAAAAATTCTAATTTTCATTTTGCAACAATCGTACAAATTAGAATTTTTGCCTTATTAAAAAAATTATTATTTTGTTGTAGAATCATTTCATACCAGTATAATACATTATTCTAAACAGAAAATATAGAATAATTTTCTTTCATTTGACAGCCCGTTTTACAGATACAAATTGTTTTAAGTTGAAAAAAATTGTTTTTCGACGACCCGTATCTGAAACACCTTCGAACCCACAACGATGTAATCTTGTACAAAGGGGTTTCTAAAGGTGCTGATTAAGAATAATTATCTTACTAGTTTAAAAAAAAATCGTTAATATCTTTTTTTTGAAAAATCGACCCCTTTTTCCATCTCAGAATGGTTCGCCTCTGACTACAATCAAATGTGGTTATATTTAAAGACTCCCTTTATAGGTATATATTTGCCACCAGTTTCAAAATATTGGGATATCAGGCGAGATTTCGCGGTAGCTCCATGAAAGTGGGACACATTGTATATTACAAAAGTTGTCTTGAAATTTTGCTTCAACTAGTATAGTTGTCAAATAAAAAGTTATTGGCATGGTTTTTAGGCCCTTTTAAAAATATGTCGAGAATTATAAACCGCTATTATGAAAAAACTAACAAAAATTTTAAATAATCTGTATATTAAACAAATCAAGGTATTGGTATGTTAAATTAATAGCTGTTAAATTTTACTTGAAAACTGGACTTATTCACTTTTAATTTTTGTGTTTCCCTGGATAATAGGAAAAACCCTCCAAAAATGTGGAAATCGGCTCGTATAAATGTCATTTTTATTTACAGTATAATGCCCGAGGATCCTGGGGTGAGAAGGCCAACTTAGACTTGAAACACACCCGCGGAAAATCGTTTAGGCGTGAAAAGACTAAGAAAAAGCGAGGTTCGTATCGTGGCGGCACTATTGACACGTCATCCGTTAATTCAATAAAATTTGAGTAATTTGATTTTAAGTAGACACATAATATTTTTTCAATTCCATTAAGTACTTTTTAAGTTGGCAGTTTTTCACACAAGCATTGTGTTTGTTCAAAAATTATATATGTACGTTCTTCTTAGGTATTAAGATATGTTTTAATATGTTTATATAACTGTGATTATGAAAAGGGACTTTATATTAACAATGTAAAGCATAAACTATCGTATTGTGTAACTCTGTTTCTGATGCTATCGATTCCACTTGTAAATACCGAGTTTGAAGGAAGCCATGTGAATAGAGTTTGTGTTTATACAATAATTGTGTTTTATTTACTATTCATCTTTGAAAATAAAGATCCAATAACAAAATAGGCATAAATAAATTGAACCTCAATTTTCTATCTAATAATTTTGTGTGTTGCAAAAAAATTGTAATGTGCTGTTTATTTTGCATAGTGTTCAGATAATATGTTTGCATGTACACTTTCGTCATGTTATTAGATGTTAAAAATGGAATTGTGTTCAGGTGTTAGTGGCTAATCTGTTAATCAAAGTGATTGAATTTAACACATGAATGTCTGTGAGAGAAATTCCATACAAACGTCAGATAAGTCGGTGAATGATACCGTGGAAATATTCAGTTCTTTAACAAAAGTCTACGACGGAAGTATTTATCATGCTTTAAAAAGTGCTGCAAGTGTAAGAAAAGCAAAACACCAAACAAGCGGCAGGAAAAAAATTTAAATAGATGATAAATGTGTGGTTCATAGGAAGATTCACAGATGTTAAAAAATGAACTTTCAACATTAAAGAAAATTCAAACTGCAATCTCAAGAGACGAAGATTTGAGTACTTTATTCTAAAATTTTACTGTGGTACTGTGCATGAAATAAATTTTCATTATTTAAAATGAAATCGAAAAAGTAAGCTAATGGAAAAGAATGAAATTATAGCTCACAGTATTTAAAAAAAATAGTGGAGTTTTTCATTATTTTAAAGGCACCTATTTAGTGATTTGAAATAATAGTATATTACACCACAAGGGCCGAAAGTTGAATTTTCGGCCCGTGTAGTGTATACGATTTTTCTTCATAGCCGGTTGAAAGTACGTTATTAATTTTACTTTTTTTAACTTTAGAGGTAGCAACAGTAATGACAGCGGTTAACAATTTGTTATAGCGACATAATAAATAGTCTCTAGTTACGAGTATAAATACGCATGAGAAATTCTTTCCTCCTGCCGTTATAGAGGGCGCGCGTGTACTTCTCACAGGGAGTAAATGTTAAACTTTCGTCCCTGCTATTAGGGACGAAAGTACGTACTTTTGACCGAGGTATGAAGAAAATACAATTTTTTTTTTATTGATTGTATCAAATGAAGTCAAAAAATGTTCTTCAATACCAAAAATCTCAGTATTGAAAAGCAATTCCAAGTAAAATGTAGAAATAGTAAGATTCTATTGTACGAGGGTGGTCTGAAAAGTTTCCGACCTAACAAAGGTACAAGATATTTTTCCAGACATTTTTTTTATTTTTTAACATAGTCTCCTTGTAACTCTACACACTTCTCCCAGTGATGCTCCCATCTCTGTAACCCGTCCAAATAGTACTCGGCATTTTTCTCTGCAAAATAATTGTTCACAAAGATGATTGCCTCTTCATTTGACGAAAATCTCTGTCCTCCGAGCGCAATTTTTAGATGAGGGAACAAAAAGAAGTCGATTGGGGCTAGATCTGGTGAGTCAGGCGGATGGTCAAGCAGTTCAAACCGTAATTCGTGGATTTTCGCCGTGGCAACCGCTGAGGTGTGAGACGGTGCGTTGTCTTGATGGAACAAGATTTTCTTTTTCTGCAAATGTGGCCGTTTTTTTGCAAGTTCTGCCTTCAGCTTGTCAAGTAATGATGCGTAGTATGCTCCTGTAATGGTTTTTCCTTTTTGAAGGTAATCGATTAAAATAACTCCATGACCATCCCAAAAAACAGTCGCCATCACTTTCCCAGCCGAAATACAGTTTTTGCTTTTTTTGCAGCCGGTTCCCCCTTTGCAGTCCACTGTCTGGACTGTATTTTTGTTTCAGGCATATAATGGTATATCCAAGTTTCATCTACAGTAATTAATCGGCGCCAAAACTAGGATTTATTGCGCCTAAACTGCGCCAACAGAGCGTTGGAAATGTTCATTCGAACACGTTTTTGGTCTAACATGAGCAAACGCGGCACCCAACGCGCGGACAGCTTTCTCATGAAATAAGTCAATATATTGAGGTGGCGCATTAGGTTTGAATTTAAAATAAAAAATCTATTTTTGGCTTACATACGGAACTTTATTTACGACTATATTGCTATCTTTACTACAATATTAATACATAAAATTACTAAAGGAATTAATAACTGAAAAATACGTAAAAACACCACAAAAAATACGTTTTAATGTCCACCATCTTTTTGACGAAAATACCGAGATTTCGTGTCGAAAAGTGGTATGTCTTGCCTGGCTTTTATCCTCGTACGAATGAAACCATCTCTTGCGTCTGGTCTGCAAACAGATAATGAAGCCTCTGTTACGAGCTTCATGCACATCTCTACTGCCAAGGATACTTTTCAATTTCAAGCAAATGTTTGAAATTTCTGTGTCGGTGTATTTCATTGTTATTGGAGGTTCAGTTACTTCTTTCTCTGAATCTATTAAATCATAATAACTAGGCGCATCAACCTTAAGTTCTGGAAGTTGGAATTTGTGAATTTTCTTCCCTTTGCACTGATTTCTTATCTTAAAACTCCGAACAGCCAGTTTCCTTACGTGTGAGTCATCGTCTTGTAACATAGTCAGCAACACATTTTCTCGGTGTGGGAAGAAGGCATTTCTTTGAATAGTTAGTTTTCAAGACGATGCGTTTCAGGTCATCTCGCAAATACAAACACCTTTTAACCATGTAAAATACATGTATAGGAGCATATTTACAAGACGATTTTGTCTTGATATCAAACCAGGTTGGAGAGTAGCTTTCATGATAAAAGTGGCTAGTCCCTTCAAATTTTTTGTCGTTTAGCTGTTGCAATATATAAACGAAGAATCCTGTTTGCGAAAGTCAACCATCGAGAATGTGCCAGTTTTCCTGGGTCTTTGTTAGCCAAGTTTGATGAGACCTTACCAACAGAAATTGCGCAATACATCTGATACAGGTAATTTTGATCGGTACTTAACGAATCAGTGTTCAGATCCGGCAATTTTATGGGAAGTCGAGACACTTGTCGATTTTTTTTCCTATGATGCCAAAAATACTATTATGGTCTGTTGTAGTGCCGTCGAGACTGGAGAACAAATGCCGGAGTGGCAATTCATTTGCGTGTAATAAGCATACGAATCATTGTTAAGGATGATTCAGGTGTTTTTCTAGTAAAACAATGACTCCATTTTCTGAATTCCAAACTTGAAAAATGAATTTTGTCATTAGTGTAAAAATATTGCTTAATCCTGACCTGTTCAAAGTTTACGCGGTCAGATTACCTCGCACACTCCACTTCCCCGCAATTTGGCTTCACCGGTTCCCATGCTTTGGAATAGGAAACGTACACTCCAGGTGCTCTGTGGCCGGCAGTTATTTCGAAGAAAAATTCCTAATATGCAAATATTTGCAAAACCAATTAATGATATTTCACTACAAAGTAATACGTTTATACGCGAGATATGGCTAAGAATAAATTAAAAGTATATTGATGACAAAAAGTTATGAAATTACTTCAATTTTGTGGGTACAATTTAGAACTAAAAATGTAAGTTTTTTGTAAACTACCCTCACGGTGCGCCACCTGAAAATAAAGTCGTAGATTTTTGGTTTTTTGTAAGTGAAACTTTCCTATCGGGTCATTGATTAACAATACAGAAGATATAATTTTTTTTTAATTTATGTTTGTTTCGCTCCACCCTACTGGATATATCCCGTAACAAAAAGAAAAAGAAAAAGTGGTAATTGGAATTGCTGGATAAATATTGGGTATAAATAAAAAAGTACCTGTTACATATTTGGTAAATTTTGAAATAATAATAATAATCTACTTTTTACCAAAATCGATATATCTATTTGTTTTTCTATATCTAAAAATTTTACCCGTCTTACCCTAATCTACGTTTTGAGAATGAATCTGCCTACTATTTTGGCACTAGTGTAAAGACGCAAGGAACAAAGTCCAGATATTGCTGCGAGTTTTCCTGACATTATTAAGTAAAACGGAGCATTTAAAAAGAAAAAAGAAATAACAAGGTTTTAAATATATTTATAAAATAAATATGTGTATATATGAGAACTTTAAAGATAACAGATATAACGACACAAGCAGAGGCCTAGACAGGAAAAAATGTAAACGATAAAACAAATAAATAATAAAACTAAGTGCCTAAAGTAAAATTCAAGTTAATACAGATAAGTGATAATACCTTCAATTTAAGAGAATGAGTAACGAATGGCACTAAACGTGAAAATAAATAAATCATCACCTACATTTACGAGTATTTTTCCATTCACTTTTTGACTTAGAATATAATTTGATAAATAATTTCTCCATATCTTTATCGGGAAACAAAGTACATAAAACTCCTTCTAATAAAACGTACAGTAGTCTACGATTTAAAATTGGTCTTTGGAATAAATCGAAAACTGTAAGTAGACCGCGCCTCGTCGTTTCAGATCCAATAATATGCTTCAGTTCATCTAAAATAAAGTTGTCCAATACTTTGGCATTCCAAAAAGTATTAACTCACCTGACAGGCAAGACAAGAGGGCAACTTTAGCGGCAACTCTCGTTCTATTTTTGGTGTCCGCATCTCTTTCAACTTTTGCCTCGTTGCGGACTCCATTTGGCCAAAACGATTGCCTAAAACGAGGGGAAATATTCTTCTCAAAAAATTATGTACGTTCATTCTATGACTTACTTGAATACATAGAGATAATGAGCTACATTTTTAGGGCTAGTTATAAAAGATACATAGTCTAATATTCGACGATTTACAATATCACCAAACATGGTCCTAACGATTTGTCGTAGTAATGTTACGATTCTCCTTCGCAGCCACTGGTTTCGTGACTTCAGATCAAAAACTTCGTCCATCAGCAACAACATTATTCTTAATGGAATGTTATCATCAGTCTAAAAAATAAACTTAATATTACGATTTCTGCAACTGTTTAGTTGTCCCCGTTACGTACCTCTTCTATAGAGGCCCCAACTTTACTGGCCTCGGGTAGTCTACCAGGTTTATTATGGAATACTTTTGTCAACCCTACAACTACTTCGTCAACAGTATTAAAGAGTTGTTCTGGCATATTCTTTATTGTTTTCATCCCAGATTTCAGGGGGTTTACCAAAGAATCTATCTAAAATTCGAAAAAAAAACATTTTACGATCAGGTTTCCTTAAAGATCCTTTAACCCTTTCGCTGCGCAATACGTCTGAACGTAGCTACCGCGTCGTGCGCGAAAGTTTATCGCGTGCGAATATATACGTCTGGGGCAGTTAGACCACTTATAGTTTTACATAATGTTGTGTTAAATTACGATTTACGATATTTTATGATTTTATTTTGAATAAAATACAGCATATGTACTAAATAGAAACTGAAAGAAACATGAACAATCTTGGTATTATTACCAGTACCTCTTTCCATAAAAATATTTGTCACAATCGGTATAAGCTCGCCCGCAAAAATTCGCCTTACCAATTGCAATAACCGAGTCACAATGCGCATGGTTGTGAATATATACGGTTTGAGCAGCCTGATCCAATTTAACTATTCATGCGAATTAATCCTCTGGAGCAGTTTGAACCCTATACATTTTTAGCGAATATATACGTCTGGAGCAGTGAAAGGGTTAAAAGTTCTGCCAGTACTATATAATTGATGCCTCAAGCACTACAGTACTAAAAATTAAAGAAAACTGAGCAAAGTCAAGTGTGGAAGAAAACCAAGTTGTTTTACAAAAAATCATGAGCCGCATTTGCAGATTCGGATAATTCCACTTAACCCAAATAGGCTCGACAGGTGCTGCAGTTTCATGCTTATTATTGAATTAAAATTGGTCATTATTTGGCTGCATAAGACACTTGGTTTTCTTTAATTTTATGAACTTGTTACAAAAGCTGTTAATTTACAATCTAATTTAAATTACACCAATTATACAGGGTGTCAAAAATTTAAAGAGATGAAAAAGGAGAAAAAACTGATTTAACTGATGTCACAAACTTGTATCGGAAGTTTCAGGACATAGTGAAAAAAGCTAATTAAAAATGTGTTTAAAACTGTTTTGGAACTGCTGAAATACATGTATTTTATTGTGATGAGTACTTACAAAAAATTCTGTAACACTTTTTATGAATTTGTGGGTTTCGTATGAAGCCGAACTGTATTCGAAAGTCAGTTTGTAATACATTGTTGTAGTGATTGCTGTGCTGTTTTTCAAGCTTTTTAAAATGACGCATTTATTTAGCAATCGCGAATATTATGACATGTTAATAATTTATGGCGAAGCAAATGAAAATGCCCACAGAGTGAAAAGTGTCGTGTATTCCACGGAAGTTCGTGACATCAACCAACTGCAACATCGTATTGCCGAAGCCTGTAATACGATTCAAGAGGACGTGGCAATGTTGCAGCGTGTGCGAGCGAATTGGATACGTCGCACTGAAGTTTATGTGCAAGCAAATGGTGGAACATCTATGAAAATCAGCAGGTGGCTCCTTGAAGTAACTTAGATTTTAAAATTACATTTTACTCAACATAGATGTAACAAAAATATTTGACATAAGTTCATTAACACCCTGTCTATCAAACTATTTAAAATTGTGTTTCACAATATAATCAATCTTGTAATGACTTCCAAAAATTATTCACATCAATACCTTCGGTTATTTTCGCGAGGCATCAGATACAGTTGTGACGCGTTATATTATAGAAACTTTTGCACTTACTGTACTGGCAATGGGTCCTCCGGTAGCTCTATCGTAATCACCCTGCTCTAGAAAAGTCATGAGTAATTCCCTCAGCGTGTGATGGCTAGATATCACCTGGGACTGACATAACTCGTGCATGTAAGAGCCTAACATCTTCATGCGCCTCTCTAGGACAGATCTGTCCATGTTATGGAATGTTTTTTTACCGGGAAATGTTAATTTGGAGAGATCAGGAAACTAAACATGAAAAAAATATATTTAGACAGAGCTTCTCACAAACTTTTATTTTTGTACATTCTATTTTTGACTAAGAAAACTTCACGTAATTCTACTCAATGACTAGGATTTCAAACACCCAAACTGGCCGAGAATGACCTTATTTCATAAGTACTATAAAAATAAAACCTGTATTGGCATTGCCCGAAACAATTTTTAAACTGATGTTTCAGAAAACAAACTACTCTGCAGGCTACATGACTCGACCAGCATTGAATTACACCAACAATATCTCATAAACAACTAGGACCACTGCAACAAAGTTTGAAAATTGTTTTCATTGGTGGTGACACAGGTCTTGCTTTCATAGTACATGTAACAGGTCGCTCTCTGCCAGTTAAGATGTACATACTGAGTCACAGTCGCAACCATTCATAGATGAATGAATGTTTTACCTTTTCCTTAACTTTAGTGTAAAGATCGTGAAAATCACTATAACGTCTGTAAATGTGCCACTCCTCACTATACCCTGTTTCAAATTGCCTAGTTACTCTCACAGCGTATATGCCAAAAGTTTTACCTTTTTCACATACAATACCTAAAAAAGGCATTGTAAATTTAATTTTCTAGACATGTTAAATTAAAAAGTAATGTGTGGCTGAGGTGGGTACCAAAAATAAATTATGAGCTGAAAATTTTGATGTTAAACTTACCAGTTTCAATTATGTTAACTGACAAAACATAGTCGCCAGTTTTTAAACATCTCTCTGCCGTTTTTAGTGCCTCCTCTTCTATGTCCAAGCTATCGGCAACGATTTTAATTTTCTTACTGTCCTGGCTGGAACTGCGGCTTTTCAAATCTGTATCGTTTTTACCTGTAAACATCGTAACATCACTCAAAGATCTAGCGTGCTTTACGCTCTTCTGAGTACTGTCGACTGTTAACAGCTCCCCCTTTTTGCTGATCTGCGTCAGATGAGATAAATTATCCGAAAATTTAGATGCCTCGTTGTTTTCTAAACTATCAGTGCTATTTATGCTGATCGCGTCCTCCTCTGCAGTTGCCTGTTGCAGTAAATCTAACTCCTGTAAAAGCTTTATATACGCTTTGCTCTTCTTAAACGAAGGCAAGAATTCTTTTTCTATTTTCTCATACATCGCCTCGAGGATCTTGTCAAACCACAACTCGGATGGTGTTTCATTTAGATTCCTTATCTTAAAGTACAATTCTTGAACAAGAGACTGCTTTAGTAGGATTTTCTGTTCACATTTTTCGCCCAAATACTGTTCGTAAATACTGAGAGCCGTTGATCTAATACTTTCGTATATGGAAGATACGTTTTCAGTCGAGAGTTTCGTCCTGTTCAAGTGCAAATCTGAAATTTGCTGTTCGACGGAAACTTTCCAACCTAAAATAAAGTTTATTAAATGTTTGGGGTGATTCAAGGTGTTGGTTTTGTTTACGAACCTTCGACGTTGAGATAAAAAAATAGTTCGACTTGTTTGCCTTGCATCGAAACAAAGTCGATAAAGTAGGAAAATGCTATGTTATTTTTTAATATCTGATCGAGTTTGAGATCGATTTTTTTAATACTTTCCAGCTGGAAGTAATCCAGGGATGAATGAGCATCTGCAAAGGAGATACAATTACACCAATTGTTTTTTCAGTGAAATATCTCCCTGCAATTTTTAAGGAGACAATGTAATATCAAATTTGACTTGTGAGATAAAAAGGTGAACGGGCGAGAGCAATTAAATTGTTGCCAATTATAGCCCAATAAATGAAAAAAAATTTGTAAAAAATTCATTTCAGATGGAAACTTGGTTTAATCGTAAGTTTAGGCAGAAAGAAATAATATTTCCCAAAAAGTATCGGTTTAAAATAACAAGCTCATTATTTAAACAATGATTATAATGTAAAAATTACCAAAAATGGAATTTTTCCCAGCGGTATTAAAAAGCGCTTGTTAATAATTGCAAAAAACCAGCGAAATTTGAATTTGCTATAAATAGTAGAAAAGAGCATAAATCGTCTTTAAACTGCAATAAAAGTTGTATTTTGTTACGCTTAAAAAATTTTGTAAAAAAATATTTATTTGTTTACAAGTTTTTGCATTTGTTTATTAGAAATAGCAAAAACGCGATTGTTAGCGTTATAATAAAGGGCCTTATGAGGGCTCATTTGTTTCGTCTTGACTAATATTTTCAAAATATGCGATTGGAAATTGTAATTTCATAGGCTAACCTCCTCAAAACGGCGTATAAACAAATAGTGTAATTTGTTTATAAGGTTTTTCGTTAATAACTTTGTGAAGAATTAATATTTTTTAAAGCCGCTTTGATATTCGTAATCCTGGCTATTTTTCACGAATTAAAAAAAAAAATTGTTTAGCCGATAGCATTTTTTTTTTAAATTCATAACTTGTTTATTTATTATTATTATTATTTATTAAGACTTGAAATTTCGGGAATAAATCATCATCTCTTAAACTTCATAATAAAGGTTAAAAAAAAAAATGCATTTTATAGTAATATTTAACTCTTTAAAAAACGTCCTCGAATGCATTTTTATACCTGGAATGTGGTAGGGGAAATAAGACAGAAACGTTCAAAAGTGGAAATCGAGATTTCAAATCTTAACTGCTCGAAAATTTTGTAATATCTCCGGTAATTGCGGACCAATTTTAACGTTTTTTTTTTTTTAATCTGGGGTAGCGCATGAAAATAATAACAACTGCAAGGTCCATTTTGCAATAATTAATTATTAATTTGTTATAACCTATTAATTTTGTAAAAAAAAAATTTTTCCGCATTTTTTCAAGAAATAATTATTCACAATGGTACCAATAAACAATTTTCTTAAAAAACTATATTTTTATGTAAAAAATTCAGGAAATGACATATTTTTTATGTATAAAGTTTATTTTAATGAGAATCGAGTTTTTGGATGTAATATGCATAATAGTATTATTTTTTAACATTAATGTTAATTATTTCTCGAAAAATGCGAAAAAAATTAATAGTTTATAACAAATTAATAATTAATTATTGCAAAATGGACCTTGCAGTTATTATTTTCATGCGCTACCCCAGATTAAAAAAAAATGTTAAATTTGTTCGGCATTTCCGGGGGTTTTTCAAAATTTTCGGGCAGTTAAGATTTGAAGTCTCGGAACGTTTCTGTCTTATTTCCCCTTTATTCTAGGTGTAAAAATATATTCGAGGACGTTTTTTAAAGGGTTAAAAATTACTATAAAATGCATTTTTTTTGATAAATTTAACCGTTATTATGAAGTTTAAAGGTTGATTGATTTATTCCCGAAATTTCAAGTCTTAATGTTTATAAATAAACAAGTTATGAATTTAAAAGAAAACGCAATCTCGCCCAAAATTTTTTTTTTTAAATTCGTGAAAAATTACCAGAATTACAAATATCAAAGCCTCTTTAAAAAATATTTATTCTTCGCAAAGTTATTAACGAAAAACCTTATAAACAAATTACACTATATGTTTATACGCTGTTTTGAGGAGGTTAGCCTATGAAATTACAATTTCCAATTACATATCTTGAAACTATAAGTCAATACGAAACAAATCAGCCCACATAACGCCCTTTATTATAACGCGAACAACCGCGTTTTTGCATTTGAAAAAATGGTTTTTCTAATAAACAAAAAATGGAAAAGCAATTTATGCTCTTTTCTTCTATTGATAGCAAATTCAAATTTCGCTGTTTTTTTGCAATTATTTAAACAAATTGTTAATGGATTTTAATTTAGCAGGTCTCAAATGAAACATTTTTTGAAAACCTGTAAACAAAAGCAAAAACTGCTGTTGGAGAACGTTTTTTAATACAGCTAAAAAACTCCATTTTTGGTAATAATTTTTACATTATAATCATTGTTTAAACAATGATCTTGTTGTTTTACACCAATACTTTTTGGGAAATATTATTTCATTTTGCCTAAACTAACGATTAAACCAAGTTTCAATCTGAAACGAATTACCTTTTGATTTACATGTATTACAAATTTCATTTACTGGGCTATTAATGCTTTTCAAATGTAAAACAATAAAATCAAGTTTACATTAAAACACAACATTCTGTAATCATAAGGAAAGGTTTTATCTAAATAAATACATGGTTCCTCACAGAAACAATGCTCTCAACATCATATCGTTTTACCATTGAATATCAAATTTCACATCAATCAGACAATCCTTGCAGGGAAATGTGTCACATAAAGAAACACCTTTTATAAGAAAAACGTCTAAAGAAAAATCGTAATACCTGTATCTAAGCTATCAGTATTCTCCATCTTTGACAATTTATTATCTATCAATTTTAAAACATAATACAAACTACTCAGCTGCTGTTTTATCGAAAGATCACTGTCCCCCCCAGAATCCCTAGACCTCTGAAAAAGCAAAGATACAATAATGATCACCTAAAAAGAGCTATTGCACACACCAACGAATGTATTTCCTTAGTGACCAACTCTTTGGTGCTTTTTAGTTCATCACAGCTGTCTGTAAGTCTTAAGGTAGTTAGAAATATGTCGCTTGGCAATTGAGCTTCACGTAAGCACTAAAAATGTGTTTTGTTAAGTCCCCATGAAAAAGAAAAAATCGTTTGCTACTCACCAGCCAAATAATAACCTGATTAATATAATCAGGATCCGCGATCAAATTGAAAAGTGGTAAAATTACACAGTTAACGAAAATTTCCCTCAGAAGGAATCGTAGCGGTCTGCACTGAAAATCTTCATCGGGCAGAAGTATATACAGCAATATTTCCACAATTTCACATAAAAATTCTGAAACTATCGTGATTAATTTAACAAAATTGAAGAAAGAAAGCATTACCTTTTTCATTTTCTGTACTTTGACAAATGCAATCTCTACAAACTAAATTATTTTCCATCTGGCGTTCCAAATCGAAAAAATAATCTTCCAAAGTATGGTCCTTTTTATCACTTATATAAAACTTTGAATTACCTACATTTCTTTCAGTATCTAAAAGAAAATAGTCAGTTACAAGCCAATATAAATTTTTTACAACAAATTTAGATTACCCCTTTTTAAATCAGTTGATTTCTTGCTGTACCAGTTGATATCTGTCTCACTTTTGTTTCTTTTATGATTGCTTTTCTTGGGAGACCTGGAGTCTCTCTGAGGGGAACTGTTCTGTTCCTTGGATGCCTCTTGAAGTTTCATTTTCGTTCTGGCCTGTTTATATAACCGCAAATGTGAAGCAGCATCATCCACGAGTCTTTGGGTCAAGAACGGAATCCAATCTACTTCTTTTACCCTTAAATATTATCATAAAATGTTTATTGTGTATATGTATTTCTAATTAAATTACAGCCCGTACGATATTTGTTGAAATAGAATTTCAAGAAGACCCCTGCAAGACTTTCTTGGAATTAACCGCATTCTACACCCGAGGTATGTAGAAAGACACTGTGTTTTACAGTTACAAAGACGTGTTTCTTCGTAAGTTTATTGTCCTGTGCATTTTCAGTGTAATTTTTTACTAAAATAAATCAATGGAGGTGAAAAATAAAAGGAACTTAATTCCCAGTCGAAGAGTATCGTTGTGTATAATTATTTTAAGACAGTTTTTCCAAATGAAACAACGCAGAAAATTTCAAGGCACGCCTCTGATGCGGTAAATTGTCACAGTAGTTCTCATAACAGAACTTTATTGGTGTATTATTTTCTTAGAATTCTATCTCAACAAATATTGTATGGCCTGTATTTTGTAACTATAAAAAATAAATAAGAAATTTACAAATCAAGTTCTTAAATTTTCAATCAATTTTACTGGAAAAGTGAAGTACTTAGCAGAATATTTACTTAAATTAATAATATAATGAAAAATATGTATATAAAAATCAACAAAAAATTGTTATTTATTAGTCGATTGTTCATAATTTATGCCGATTAATGACAACAATATCTGGTTCTAGTGACTTAAAAAAGATAACAGTTTTATGAAGTTCATGTCAGTAAAATATCAAAAAGATAACGTTCAAGGAATATAACTTGTTTATTATAAACATGACATGACAAAGATATTTTTTGAACTTTTATAAACGTTAATCAGTAATTAAAAAAATATATGTCAACGGAAATAAAATGATATTCAATTAGCACATCTTACTTTTAAGAGAAAAATTAGAATGTTTACAGACTTTTATACTATTTCTGCTTTAACAGTTAAACATTTTTATAAGTAAACAATAATGTAAACAACCTACAAGGGTTAAGTAGGCGTATCAAGATAATTTATTATAAACCACAATTAACTTTCTATATGTAGTGTTTCATATAGTCGCTTAAGTTTAGGAAAATTTTGCAGGTATATATATACCATATAAAGATATGTTCACATTTTTTTTTTTTTTCTCTAAAACAATCATAGTCCTTTATGATAAACTACTTATAAAACATTTTTGTAAATAAAAACTTAATAATTAAATTGGTATTCTAATTCTATAATTTTACATAACTTCTACAATTGTAACTCACTGAAACAGGTACCAGTTAAAATTTGATAAAAAAAACTGTAAAATCTAGATGTGGTTCACTAATTTTGGTTAATCCTCAAACAAAATATAATCTTCTGTTCTAAAACACAATGGGCTTGCATGGCATAGCTGCAAGGTTACTTTTTATCTACTACTAAAATATTCATGCTTCACTGACATCAATTATTATTGCAGTTATTATACATACTTAGGTTGATTCTTTATTTTTATTGTACCTTAGACAGAAGAAAAACTTGATCAGTGGAAATTACGTACCTGTTTGCTATATTAATTGCAAACGTCTGTGCAGTATGTCTCACTGTAACCTCCATAAATTCGGTGTCTCTTGATATTAGGGTATACCATGAGGACACATAATCCCGTATAACGTACCCCAAAATTTCTTGCAAGGAACTGTCTATTAACTCACTTCCTGTGACTCTATTATCAGTTTTTTGTACTTTTTTTGGACTCTCAATTTGTCTGACAACATGTTTTAAACCTCCTTCATTTGGAATGTCGGAGGTTAAAGGATTTCCAGCACATTTACTATAAAATTTTTCTACATCACCCTGTTGTACATACAGTAATGAAAAACATCTACAAGAAATAAAATAGTAAGTGTTTAGAATAAGAAATTAACAAAGCGGTAACGTACCCTATTATGAATAAAATTGATCCAACTATAATTGCTAAAAGCCAAGAAACACCAAAACTTGTAATAAACAAAACTGAAATTAGGCCAATCCATCCTATAGTGTTAGTTTCCATTTCTAGAACATAAAAATAAACATTAAAATTTTACAATATTCAAATATTATTAAATACACAGTGAGTATGTCAGGACGATACTAACCTGTTCAAATGGATATATTTGTTTAAACAAACACAGATTTATAACAATAAACAGCAACATAATAATAGCGCATAATTATTTATAAATAAGTTTAGTATCTTACACTAAACTAATTTCCCTTCACCGAAAAACGTCATATTTTAAGGTTATTTTGTTTCCATCAAACGATTTGTATTAACGCTCCTAGATGGAGAAACAAGCTACGACGCGGGAAAATTTAAATCGAACACTTTCCACTTCAAGGCAATGATAGCTTGGGGTTGCGCAAAGGGTTGAATATTTAGATACAAGAATTGTGTTTTGCTTTTGTCAGTCATGAGCGCGATTTAAAAATATGGCTAGATTTTTAGCGACAATAAAAGCAATAATAACGCGCCTTGTTTTTGCGGGTCATGGTTTCATAGGCATTTGGCAAGTAACGATCTTCAAAAACAATTCTTTTTATTGGTATTTAAGTTCACCTATTTTGCTATTGTTCTTCGAGGGGATTTTTACTTTAACCATCAAACAAAATCAGGAGTGGAAATGGTAAGTATAGGGCATTAGTTTTTTTATAATTTAGGTTCTATAAAATAGTTATAATTACCTATTACCAACTTGTTAAATTCAAAAGTTATGAAAAGTTAAGATAATAAAACATTAAATATTATAAAGGCACATGACAAAAAATTAAAAAATTGTTGCTTATCAAAAAAAAAATAGACAAATAAAAACTTTAAATTGATCAAAACAAAACATAAAACCCTGTTATTATCTCAAAACGGATAATACCGAAACCTAATTAATTATTATACCTACAGATTTTTTTTTTATTCCGTAGTTAATTACCTAATAGTAATAGAAATAGATGAAAGAATATAATTTAATTGTTCTCAGATAACTTTTTTGCTATTTAATTAGCCACAAATAAACTTCCTATCCTGAACATGGCTTTATACAACAGGAAATATCTGAATATGATTGTTTTTAATTTATTGAGTACTGATGCCAAGTATTTTTTTTTTAATAATTTGCGCCAAAAGAGTAAGTTATTAAGGCACTGATTTTTTAAATTTAGTTTCGTCTAACCAGAAATATCCTAAATAGATAATGCCTGAATATAATTTTGCCAATATCTCAACTAGGTTTTTTTCTAATTTTTAATTTGACTGATGATTCATTTGATAAAGTATGTAAAAAACCTCACCTCTTAGAAAATCTTTGGGGATTAACTTTATCTGTTTGAATTTGTCTAGAAAGGTATGTGTAAAGATAAGGTAGATTTAAATAAATGAAATAAAACCGAAATAATTATGTCAGTGTGCCATGTGTGTATGAATTGTTATCAATTAAATTATTGAGTTTAGGTTTTAAATTATGGGAAAATGTAGATTTTTAGGTGCTATTCTTATTCGTATCATATTTGTGATTCATGCGTTTCTCGGTGTGTGGTTTTTGGTGTACACGAAAGATGACCATTGGTACTGGTACATGAGTACCCCTTTGTTTTTCCTGTTTTTCGAAGCAGTAATTACATTGACAGTGAACGAAAAGCGTGAATGGAATTGGTATGTACTTTTTCTTAGAAACATTTGTATTAGTGAATTCAGCTTGCAACAAATTATGAATTAATAATTTTTGACTTAGCGACTAATAATTGGGAATTGTTTAAAAGTTTTTAAAATAAATATTTACTGGACACAATTCACTACACTGACTATAGTATAGAAAAAAAACGACATTCGCTTTTATATGTATTCCTACTTTCAAGAAATTATTGCTAGTTGTTCTGAGAGCAAAATATTATTGGTAAATAATATATAAACAGAAAATTATAATTTTAAATTTTCTTATTAATTTTCTTAATTCTTTTTTTTTAGGAAACAGTTTGATGCATATTTAGAATTTGGTTTGTATTTTTCATTTCGTTCACTTCATTAGATTACCGAATATTTTATTACAAATTAAAATAGTTGATTTTTATCTATTAGATCACCAATCAGTTTTGGAACAATTAAATTGGCGATAAGGACTGATTATGTGTAGTAGAAGTCAATTATATTTTTATGTTCAAGGACCTATAATATGCAATACATGCTAGATTATAGATTAAATAAATCTAGGTTGTTTAAATTGTTATTGTTTAGATTTACTTGATTACCTACACATTATTATTACATATAATTAATAGTATACAGGGTGTCCGGAAATTACGTGTACAGCGGTAGATCATAGACTCCTTGACCCAAGATATGAAGATTAAGCCCAATTCAGCTATTTCCAAAATTGCTCCGTTTAGCCGCTAGAGGACGCGAAAATACGATAAAAATTTTTGTTTATTCGGAATATCTCGAAAACGACTTTGACTTTGACCATCTTTAGGTTACAGAATTAAGGTGTTTAATTGACGTGTATTTAGAATTATTTTCAATCCCTACATATATAAAAAAAGTCTGATACCGTACAAATATAATCACATATATTTTTTATTCCCCTGTACAAAAACTCCCAATTTTAATGTCACTAGCTGACTTTGTTTAGAAACTTTTTTTTACTATAGCAAAATTTTGATCAGATGAGTAGTTCTGGCAGAAAAAAATAAGTTTCGTAAGTCTGCATTGTGCAACAAATAACGAAATAGGTATAGTCTTTCCGAAGTCAGTTGAACATTTAAAAAACGCCTGACAATAAAATTTAATGTGTTTCATAGGCGTCCCTAAAAAGGTAAAAAATAATTTGTATATAATGTGCAGAAAATTTCTATTATATGTTCATTTGGCCAACAATCTCCTCAAACAATTTTATTTTATTGATGGTAAATTTCGTTTTAAAAGGTCTCCAAAATGCCATGTTGTAATAATATTAGTAAACAAAATATCTCTCTTATTTCTCCCTTTTGCAATTGTAATATGAATGATTAATAGGAGGTGCCCTAATAAATTAAAATTACCTGAATCACACCAAATTCCGCTTTTCTGCATTGCACTCCTGGGCAATTTGTCGATCACTTGTCAAAGGCTGAGATTTATTGCCCAGTAGCCCAATGCAACTGTATTGTATTTCGTTTGCCCGCGCTCGCATTCTTCATCTGGGCGTATATATTTCTACCATCTCCACGTTTAGTTCGACCAGACCTGTATATGGGTATGGCTAAATAAATATGGGAACAAGTTTTTCAAATATTTCAATGCCGAGTTGCTGCGTCAGCGACCGAACCTGGTACATACTGTCATGCTCTTGGTTCTTTAATTGATATCGGAAAGACTATACCAGAAATGGACTATGATATTTTGAGGATAAACTGAGAGAGGTTCTTTCTTTATAAGCAGTCAATATTTAGAAATTTTCATATACTTTTGTTCATATAACTTTGAAAATAATAACAAAACAACAGTTTCACTAATTGTTAAGCTTAAATTTTAATTATGACCGATAACGATACAATTCGGAATTTTAGAAGAGGCATAGCTCTTACACTCTTTCTCCAACACTGAATGTTTGCTGCCTTCTAATCCTGATCAAAATTTTGCTTGAGTAAAAAAATTTTGTAAACAAAGTCCGCTATAGTAGTGACAAAAAATTATTGTTTAGGGGAATAAAAAAAATATGTGGTTATATTTGTATTGTACCTGATTTTTTTAATATCTGTAGGGATTAAAAATGATTCCAAATAACGTTAAAACACGCCAATTAAAGACCTAACTCTGTAACCCAAAAATTGTCAAAATCGATAGTCGTTTTCGAGATATACAGAATAAACAAAACATTTTATCGGATTTTGGCGTCCTCTAGCGGCTAAATGGGGCAGTTTTGGAAACAGGTAAATTGGGGGGTAAATCGTTAATCGTAAAAAATCTACTTTTGTTATTAAATAAATAGAAGGAAATATTCTCAATGTGAAATTTGTACCTAGTCTTATTCCCCATTCCCAGCCCCATTACCGCATTAGCCCTTACCCTTGCTATCGATTTTTAAATAATAATTTGCACAAATCCGTCCATATCCGATACGAAAGGATATAAAAATTAGGTTAACTCGTTGGAAGTCGTCACAATGCTCTCAAATTGTGCGGAAATGAGAGTGGAGTGACTCCACTTAGCGCTCTAGCCGCGTCAGGGCCACCTTATTATTTTCCCTGTCAGTCATCAGTTTTTTTTTATGTTGGAATGGTCTGGTAAACTTATATCCAGGATTTTCTCAACTGTTTTAGCCTCATGTTGAGCGTTGAGAGGCAAGGTGAAGTAAATATTTCAAATTATTTATTTTAATATTTAATAGGTATTCAAGAGGCATTATGCCCAATTACAAACTTAAGCTCAATGGAAGACTTGAAATGAGAGAATTGTTAAAATAACTATATGTTTTATTAAATTATACAATTTCTTTGTTTAGTGTGTGTAGCACTCCGATGTACGTGACTGATGATGAAAAATTTCGATTATTTTGGCAGAAATATACAGGGCGTTTCAGGAGATGTACATACTTCAGTATGTTATCCTACGTTCAATTTTGAGCAAAAAATTTCCTATGAACTTAGTTCAGGAAACGCTTCGTTTAGGATGTCAAATTAAAAAAATAATAATTACATTTTCTTCAATAACTCTCGACTACTTTGAGTTAAATTCATGAAATTTTGTGTGCGGAGGTTTCTTGGGACGGGAAAATCAAATTTTATGGACGATTGGCTGTATCTCCCAGAGGGCGCCACAAGCGACCATTAGGATCCTTTTAAATCGTTTCAACTTTTTTGTGCCACGGTGTATATCATTTCGGAATAGAAAAACATTTCCCCTATATTTTCTACGTAAGAAATGTACATCTTACTGAAATCTTTAGGAGCAGGCCGTTTCCGTTAAAAACTCATCTAATGTTATGTATTAAAGTGCTAATTGTATCAGCTTCGTCAGTAAAAAGCATCATTGGAACTGGTTGACGATTAGCGTTGATCTATTCACAAAATTCCAATCTTCTGGCATGATCTCTTGGTTGAAAATTTTGTACGTTTTAAATGTGGAAAGAATACAAGTCTTGTTTGCGTAATGTACATTTTTTTATTCATTGGCATTTCGATTATCTGCTCGTTCAGAATGATAATGACTACTTGGAAGACAATCGGATTCACGTAATTTGGTAAATGTGTTAGAAAACACCCTTGCATTTGGAACCGTTCTATTAGGAAATCGTCTCCGACATTCTCTACGAGTAGCCCGCGAATTTTCATTGGAAAAGCCATAACAATTTTTTTGCTTGAAATTGAACGTAGAATAACATACTGAAGTATGTACATCTCCTCCTGAAACACCCTGTATATGTGACCATTATTTCGATGGATTGTATCTTCACATGCATCGAGTAAATGAACTGTTGTAATCTATGGTCTGTGAAAATAGAAAAATAATGTGGATAACAGTAGAGGAAACTTGAGGTAGTAGAAAACGGATCCTGTTTTATCACCTGAGAAAGTAAAATATATTGAATTTTTCACTGACAAACAGAATCCCCTTTAGTACAGATACTCGTTCGTATATATGTTGAGGTCTTCATTTCAGTTGCAGTGCCATCAAATTATTTTTATATTTCTTACTGATGTTACTGCCCTTACACTCTCGAAACCGAATTAAATATCACAAGACAGCTATACAGAATATCTTTAATGTCCTGAATGCAAAAAAATATTCAGTATTTCTTTCCGACTGGCTACCACGTCACCGGCTTAGGAATCAGCTCGGAAATTGTTCACACTGACAACTGCCACAGAAGCCTTTTTTTCAGACACTTGATGTATTATCAGTAAATCATGTTGAAAGTCCACTGAAATATTTGTACCATCTACCATGAACCATGGTGACTTAGGAAATTGTATTTCTCCAATGTTGCAATATAAGTAGCATAAATTGGTTTCCAAGCTATGAACGCATATTCTAATTTAGGCAAGATTTATAAATATTTAAAGATAAATAAAGCCAAATAACGAGACAAGAAACATATTAGCAAATACAGTCGTTAATGGTATTTATTGCACAGTTTGAAGTTATCTGAAACATGGCAAAGAGTAGAGGTCTAAGTGCCACAGATANTACTGTTTATTTCACTAAACATCAACCAACTATTATAAGAAAATACACAACGTTTTTGCAAAATAAAAAAAGGGGCTAAAAAACATAAAACATTCCATATCTCCGCAACCGTTACTTTGCGGACCCATGTTTATTGAGACTTTTCTGCTTATTTTGGTTCATACTATTACCTCCTTAAATATTTTACACTCATTTTTTAACACCCCGTACATAATATCTTTAATGTCTTGAATGCAAAAAAAATATTCAATATTTCTTTCCGACTGGTTACCACGTCACCGGCTTAGGAGACAGCTCGGAAATTGTTCACACTAACAACTGCCACAGAAGCCTTTTTTCAGACAGTTGATGTATTACCAGTAAATCATGTTGAGAGTCCACTGAAATATTTGCACCATCTACCATGAACCATGGTGACTTAGGAAATTGTATTTCCCCAATGTTGCAATATGAGTAGCATAAATTGGTTTCCAAGCTATGAACGCATATTCTAATTTAGGCAAGATTTATAAATATTTAAAGATAAATAAAGCCAAATAACGAGACAAGAAACATATTAGCAAATACAGTCGTTAATGGTATTTATTGCACAGTTTGAAGTTATCTGAAACATGGCAAAGAGTAGAGGTCTAAGTGCCACAGATACTTACTTGAAGTTATAATACATTTTTTTTTTGAGTAAATTTTTAAGGAAATATTGGAAAATCGCTTTTTTATTTACTGCGAAATACTGTAAAATTCATTTTGTAGTCGTCACCCGAATAATTTTCGTTTTCTACATTGCAAACTAACATCCGCCTCTATTTTGACGACATGCCATTTCCATTTTTAAATATGATTCACGCCAGTAGCTTGGTGTGTATATTTTGCAAGATTTTGCGTCATACTCACAATAACTTCTTTCTACGACGCGAGTCTTTCCTCCGTAGTATATCCATTGTTTAATCGAGAATATTCTAAACAATTCATTCATCGGATCCATTCACAAACGTAGCCACTTCAAATCCCACGATAAAGCTTGGCGTCCTGGCTATTTTTGGATTCCTAACGATAATAAATTCCGTTTTTAAATTTATCATTGTGTGTAGATGCGATCTAATTCAGTATTTATGTTGATTGTTGATATGTACTTGTGATGGTTATCCGATTCACATCGCTATCGTAATTGAATTTGTCTACACTATTTCATTGGATTCAGTCAAGGTAAACAGCTGGCAATGGTTACAATATTTGGAAACTACCAGAATATGAGTAATTATTTTGTGGGTATCTGTAGAAGTTCAATCCTACAGTTACTAAGAAAACCGGTTAATGTGAATTTAATTTTTAATAAAGCTGCACATCAATGTTTAAAATGGATATTTATGGGTTTCTGATCAATTGTGGTATTCCTTTGGACGTTGATGAGCTAATGAAAAGCTTACAAAGCAGTTTCCATTCATTTAGAAAGAACATGCGTTATAATTATAACTATACAGGGTGTTAAAAAAAAGAGTGTAAAATATTTAAGGAGGTAATAGTATGAACCAAAATAAGCAGAAAAGTCTCAATAAACATGGGTCCGCAAAGTAACGGTTGCGGAGATATGGAATGTTTTGTTTTTTAGTTTTTTTTTTTTATTTTGCAAAAACGTTGTGTATTTTCTTATAATAGTTGGTTGATGTTTAGTGAAATAAACAGTACGTATTTGACAGTTGTTCTCAGTGCACAAGTTTTCTTTCGCTATGGCTGGTTACTCTAACGCAGAATTAACAGACATGCATTTCATGTATGGTCGTGCTAATGGGAACGCCACCGAAGCGCGACGTCTTTATGTTGACGCTTATCCAAATCGCCAGATTCCTTCACAACGCATGTTTGGAAGAATTCACCAAAGATTGCGTGATACCGGTTCCTTGAGCAAACAGTGCCATTTATCCGGAAGACCAAGGTCGGTATCCACTCCTAGAGCAGAAGAAGAAATTCTAGCACTGGTAGAGCAGAATCCAGGTACGAGTGTGCGGAGAATATCAGCCGAGGTAGGAATTAGTGGTCCTCTTGTTTGGAGAATCCTTCACGAGCAACTGCTTTATCCATACCATGTGCAACGAGTACAGGCCTTAAATCCAATAAATGATCATCAAGCACGTTTGGTTTTTTGCCGCTGGTTTCTACGTCATGATGCTGAAGACCCTCGTTTTCTTGCAAACATTCTTTTTACTGATGAGGCCGGGTTCACAAGAAATGGAGTGTTTAATTTTCACAATACGCATATTTGGGCCGACGAAAATCCTCATGCTCTAATAGAATCTGGACATCAGGCACGTTTTTCATTAAACATTTGGATGGGTATTGTAGGTGACAGGTTTCTAGGTCCTGTTGTTTTACCAAACCGATTAACAGGCGCTGCTTACCTCAACTTTCTGCAGAACACACTGTATGAGTTTTTGGAAGACATTCCTTTGAATCAGAGGCAACAAATGTGGTTCCAGCATGATGGTGCTCCAGCTCATTTTTCCATGGCCGTTAGAGAGCATTTACACCAAACTTTTCCACATAGATGGGTAGGAAGGGCCGGACCTGTTTTATGGCCTCCAAGATCGCCTGATCTGAACCCTCTAGATTTCTTTGTTTGGGGATATTTGAAGACATTAGTGTATGGTACTCCTGTAAATAGCCTGGAAGAGCTGCAGCTACGGATTAATCAAAAGTGTCAAGAAATCCAAACCAAGGAGGGTGTTTTCGAAAGAGTTCGAATATCGTTGAGACGAAGATGTCGTGCCTGCTTGGAAATGGACGGAGGGCACTTTGAACATCTTCTGTAACTTTGTTTTTTGTTTGTTAAAAGCTTCCTTTGTCGGTTTATTCCTAATAAAATAAAATGTTTGAAAAACGAATAGTGGTCCATATCTCCGCAACCGTTACTTTGCGGACCCATGTTTATTAAGACTTTTCTGCTTATTTTGGTTCATACTATTACCTCCTGAAATATTTTACACTCTTTTTTTAACACCCTGTATATCTACTATTCAATTATTTGTGTACAACGAAAGATCCTGAGCAATGATATAGTACCACTAGGTTTCTAAAATGATCCTCAAGCGTGAGGAATGACTATTCAAATATTTGATATTAAATATAGCGTTTGATCTGAAGAATTTGTGCAGATACAGACTTCAAACTTGATACAGTACCTTATAGCAGCTATCTTCACGTATTAAGAGATTTGATTGCTTTTTTCTTTAATTCAATGATATTTTTCTTAATCATAACTGCAAAATTTTTAGGTTTTGCCCGTCAGTATTCCTATATTTGGCAAGTATAGTGCCTGCGATTTGGTTGCTAGAGCTGGATAAAGTCGACAGGAGATTGAAAGTAAGGGAAGAATTAGATTTCAATTTAACTACAGGCGGTCAGCTGAAGGATATCAACAGTCTCATAGGGGTAAGATAGTTAAATCATAAATTCAACACACACTTTTGAAATCAACCTTTAAAGCCCCATTTCGAAATTATTCTTCTCATTAAATTATGACAATTTGTACTTTTTTTTATAATTTATTATATCGAAATAAAATGGTTGCGAAGAAAACTAATTATCTAGGATATTCACCTTTAAAAACACGATCGATTTAATCAATAAATAGTTACAAAATTGCAGTTTCTGGCATGTTTTGACGACCGGTGTTTAAACAAACATCACTTGTTGTTAGTTTACAAGTTTCAAGCTTCCTGGACATTTACGACCGCAATTTAAATTTATGGGCAACTTAACAAATCTCGTAACATCCACGTGTTCTTTCTAGGTTGAAATTAAATTACCAGAAATCGCGTTGAGCACAGAAACATGGATAACTTTAATAGAGCAGTTTCTAATGTTAATTTTAATAATTGGAAGATGGATGCTGCCAAAAGGTGACCTCACTAGGGATCAACTGAGCCAACTGTTACTCGTCTATATCGGTATGTCCAATTTTCTAGAAGTTTTCGGATATTTTACACATCATAAGTTTTTATGGTCCAAGTAATTCACTTTTTTAAATAGATAATCCTAAATTCTGGTTCAATGTTCTGAACTTTTGGTTAGATGCTATAATTTTTGAAAAATAAGAAATGCAGAAAAAGTAAAACATATGTTTACTGGCCTATTTAGAACAGTAATAATTAACTACTATTCAACTCCTAAGGATCATAATTATATTTTCAATTATGTAAATACTTCAAAAGAATCAGTCTTGTTTATTGTAAACCTCTTAATTTTTGTTTAAAATATTTATTAATTATGTAAAAGTTAAGCATCATTGAATTTATTAAAATTGATATCAAGTTATTATACTCGAGTGATGGATTTTATAGATATTTCTTTCCAAAAAGCAGTGGCGGCTATTGACTTTAATACATGAAAGGAAGGAAAAATTTAGGTGCAAAGTACATATTAAAAAAAATAAATATAGCTTGGTAGTTTTATTTTAAGTACCATTGAAATATAGGGAAAATGTGCTCAATTTTATTTTTTATAGTGAAAGTCCATTCTTCTGGTTTTGTCCGAAATAAATTTTTCAATTACTTTCTCAATAAACTTTTGGTATTTCTAGCACCATTGACTATCAAAATATAGCATTTCAAGTGCTGTCAGTCTTTGCAATCTACTAGTTTTACAATCTTTTAAAAAACACATAAGAAACAATACGTAGATAACAAAATTTTACACCACACGTAAACAAATTATGTTTAATAAGAAAAAAACGGTGGATGGCGATTATTTGGCTACGGGTGGACTAAACAGAGCCCACATTGCATAGTACATATGCGTTACTTTCACTCCGTCTTTCACTGCTGCCAGGACGGTAACCATGACCACCGCTGTAAACACTTCACAGATTTAGGGGTGCATTACAAATTTAACATTTCCTTTGTAATGTTTCATAAAGCTAATTGTCTAATTATATAGATAACAGTGTAAACTAAACTTAAAATATTTTAATACAGGGGGTGGGGTGCCCCAGATATCCCCCCCCCCCCCCCCCCTCCGCCCGCACCAACCGCCACTACCTAAGTGTTTCTGTTGCGGAAAATCAAACCAAACAAACGCGATGTATTTGAAAACGAAAAATGTGGATGTTCTTGGCAACTTTGATGATCATTGCAATTTTAATACTTTATTTTGAATTAGACATACATTTAACTGTAATTTGGTTGCCAAAAACTAATTGGCTTTACAAATTCCTTTTGATCTTCACTTTACACGAAATATATACAATTTTCTATCTCGTCTTTCAAGAGAGGTGGAATGGTGGGTATGTTTTTCGGATTTATTGTTTAATTTAGTTGTATTTTTTAATTTCTATAAATTTCTGCAAAGTTAAACTCATTTTAATGTTCTTTGATCTTAAATAAACTATTAAAAATGTGTAAATTTTTTTTATAACATAAATTTTTAAATGGACAAATTATTTATGCCGAATAACAGATTATCTGATATTTAGCTATTGTTTATTTAAAATCAGTTAAATAATTTCAGGACTGTTATCATTATATATCTATCGTTTATTATCATTGAGTTTCTAGAGTTTTTACAAATAAAAAACAGACGTTTATTTAAATTTTCTGATGTTATTGAAAAGTTTATAGCACCGTTCGATTTGAATGAAAATTTAAACAAATATTAAAGTTAGTTGTGTATTACGTGGTACATCAGTAAAACGTAGAGAAAAATAACGACTGAAAATGTTTGTTTGATTTCATTTTACACATCATTGATTATTCACATTATACCTCTCTATATAAGACCCGATGTAGATTTAATGTTACAAATTCCTACATCTTTTATTGTAATGAAATTAATAAAATTATCACGCAGTTTTATAACTTATCCAAATTATTCAAATATATCTGGTGATTTTTTTTTCAATTAAACAATATAAACATTTCAAGAACAATTAAAAACTTGTAAAAATCGTACTTCATTTTTCTAGGCACTGCCGCTGATATAATAGAATTCTTCGATTCCTTCAAAGATGATAAGATTGCTGCCGAACCTATCTTGGTTCTTTTAACGTTAGCTATCTGGTAATCCTTCCAAATATTTGACGAAACATAAAATAAAAGACATATTTTCAGGTCCTGGAGTCTCATGCAATTCACTGTGGTTTTGACTGCGACTAAATCTAGAAAATCTCGCCTTACCACAGCAGGATCAACCATCAAAAGGTAAGCAATTCATTACTAAACCAATATTTAATTGCTTCTGACTAAATAACCATATTTTCTTTGTCTATATTATTTGCTTCTTTCAGATCTGAAAGCTGTTGTACTATAGACGTCTGGGGCATAGCCCTCAACATCACCCTCCAAGACGCACCTTTCCTAGCTTTTCGACTCCTCCTCATCACCCACTTCCAAATAATCTCCTACATGAATGTGTTCTTTACCTGCAAGAATACTTTGGTGATCCTCCTCCAGATATACCGGCTGTACGTGGTCTACAGCGAGCACCATAAGAAGCAGTCGAAGGAGGATTTTGAACTGACAAATATTTCCATTATATCCAGAGCTGATATGTACGACAACAGAAGGAAAGCAAAGAAGAATAAAAAGGATGCGAGGAGCAAGAGAAGTTCCAGTAGGCAGTCCGCGAGGTCGGAGGACTTTAGCGAAAATGACGGTAGCGACGATGATGACAATGTCAATAGAAGAAATAGGTAAGATTTAATAGATTATAAATGTAGGCCATAAAAAATGACCTGTAAGATTTCAAGGCTCTGCTAGCAAATAGACACGAGATAAAACTGTGATGCAAAAGTGTAACAAAGGCAACTTTTACTGCTCGAGAAGAGAATATTGCGACTATATTGGCAGCTACACATATGGCGATAAATAGAACGATTTTTTTGCACAGATCTAACTGTGCAGACATATTTGACATGTGGATGAAGAGTCGTTTATTTGCATAGATATTTGTGACGTAAAGATGGAGCAAATAGTAGTAAATGGTTGTCAAACTGTTTAAGTGTAAGACCAAATCTAGAGTCTAACTGTGTATAATTTCAAAATTCTAAATTTGAATTATTACGAATCTCCTTAAATAGCTGCCACACATCAAAGCCGTAAATATCCTAACAAAGATTAGAGACTTCCTTTCATCTTTTCTATTTGTATGCGCATTTAGACACAAAGAAAATTAGCTGTCCATGTGTAATACCGTTTAAAAACGATTTTAAATAATAAAAGTCTGCTGATACTATTTCTGAATGAAACAAAGATGCAAAGTTATGAAAATAATCATATTTGCGGACGTGTTTAGCATCATAACAAAACCCTGATTTATGTATTAGCACAAATTTATTTATTAGGTACTTAAAAATATCTTTATGGAAAATTTCATGGAACAATGGTTCCATGAAATTTTCTGATGTACTGATTGAAATCACGATGTAAGTTCACTAGAATATTTCAAATTTCTAATTACTTTTGGGATTCTGAATATTTACTGTTACGTTTTCTGTGTAAAAAGCCAATTGAAGTTTTGATTTTAAAGTGAAAATGGTACACAAAACAGGCCTCTCAGTTTTAATGATCGCTTTAATTCATCACGTAATTTGACCTGCTTCTTTGAAATTTTTTAGATATTCTAAATATTTTGTTACTCTTGTTGTGTAGAAAACTGAAATTCTTAAGTTCTAGTTTTAAATAAATGAAAAAAAAATGGGTCAAATGGTTTTACCTAATCTCCTCGTTTCCGAATTATTATGGTTCAGAATTCGAATTTTTTAAATCTGTAAATTTTTGTTATTCCGAATTATTTTGTTTCTATGTAAAATGTCCAAATTCTAAGATATGGTTTTAAATGAGTGAAAAAATATCAGTTCAAGAAAAATTAGTCAAAATTTAATTTTACCCGTCCCTGAACGATTACGGTTTATAGTAGTCATCTTAATATCTTTAAAATTTCATAGAATCATTCGAATTTCGTGATGATTGCTTCCAATTATTACCAGAATCTTTCAAATCCATAAATCTTTCCGATATTCCGATTCTTTTTGTTAAGCTTATTGTGTAAAAGCACAAATATCAAAAAGCCTTAATGTTTAAACATTTAAATGAATGGAAAAAGGTCGCATGAAAACAATTGGGTTAAAATCGGGGCCTCCCAGTTTTATCCATCCGAGTAATTCTGGTTCATAATCGTCTCAAATATTTGAATCTTCATGGAATCATTGGAATCTATTCATCATTACTTATCATGTAATTTCACCAGAATCTTTAAAGTTTATAAACATTTTCAACATTTCGAATTCTGTTATGCTTTTTGTGTAAAAAAACATATTTCTTCCATACTTGTTCTTACTTTCCCACATACATTGTTCCAAGATAAAAGAGAGCAAAAGGCAAGAAAGCAAAAACAATGACTAACATCCACTGTATTAAGGTACTGCAGCTCTAAGGTGTAGTTTTGTCGATGTTCTCGACACATTCTCAGCTGTCCTCAAAGGTTTCAGGTAAACCATGGAGGGTAGGGGATTCCTGTATCGATCAATAATGTGGATTACAGGACTGATTTTGTTTTTGTTATTGAGTGGATTTTGCTGTATATAATCTCTGTGGGTTAGGAACTTAGGAGTTCTATTAAAAATAAGCTCGCATCACTCACTTCTTTGCTGTGTAGTGAGCATAAATCTCCTTGATTTTTTAGTTTTAAGAGCGGTTCTATGATATTGGTGTAGCCTTGAAGGGTTGTAAACTTTGAATGAGTCTTTGTATACCGAAACTATGCAATGAGCCTCACAAATATGATTCGTTACATGTTTCCGCGTTACAGGAGTGACTATTAATAAATTTAAAAGAACTGGTGGCGGACTTAATTTCTCGAGGTTCAAATCACATGGACTGATATGGGTCCCATTAGTGTAACATCCCACTTTTGAATTTCATTGAAATTTCATCAAATTAAAATATATTGATTATTGTCTGATATAATCATTAATTTTACCAGAATCTTTGAAATCTTTAATCTTTTTGAGATCTCGTATTTTTGTAACGCTTCCCAACTCTAAGCAGATCAAAATTTCGTAAAATCTCTTAAATTCTCTGAAATTCTGTTCTCTGATTGTGAAAAGCTTTCATATTCTCAATATTTGTTCACAACATCCAGGAAGAAACAATTTCTATCACAAGTGTGTACAGTGCCCTTTGAAAGTGGACGACTCTTATAAGCAAATTGTCTATAATTGGCCTTTGTGAAGCTGACTTGAAAATGTGAGGTTCAAATCGGCTGTCATTATGTCAAATTTAATGTGTGTCTATCATACTAGTTCTAGTGAGCAAAACAAATCCAAATTAGGTAGCAAGTTATTTATTTTCCCAATACTGAAATATATTATACATTCTAACGGCCATTCATTCGCAGTCAACAAGATATAGAAATGAAACACTTTTCGTCGTCAAAAAAACGCGATTCGTAGTTAGTATTTTGCCCTAGCACCATTTTTGTCTATAACACTGCAATCTACATGGCATTGATAAAATTAATGTTCTTGTTATAATCCTGTGATGTTATCCTATGCGTTTTCAATTGCCTCCCAAAGTTCTTCGACGTTAACTGGACGGATGATTCTGTCGTAAATTTTTTTCACCATATATCCTCAGGACTTTGGGCCAAGGTAAAACATCGATGTTCTTATCAATGAACCATTCTAACGCAACTCTTGAGGTGTGAATTGCACAATTATTCTGCTTGAAAGTGAAATTCTGAGGATACAGCATGGTCACAACAAACACCAGGACTTTGGCAGCTTATCCAAGCCCAAACGTTAATGGAGAACCTATCGCTGCGCTGTGTGGGTTTCACATAAGGCTCCGAATACCTCATAATCTCTGGTGGGTAGACACGGACAGAAGCATGGGAGTAAGACTGAAAACTTTTTTCGTCCGAAAATATAATATTCTCCCACAAGTTGTCTGGGCTTCTTACAAATTGTCTTGAGAACCCTAACATCTGTTATTTATACTGGGGAGTCAAAGCAACTGTATTTGCGGCCACATAATTCTTCAGCTCCGAATCTTTCACCCGCTTCCTTGCAGTTCGCACTGATCCAGGAAAATTCGTCTCAAAGGAAGCCGCTACTGCCATGTCAAAAGGATTTATTCTTAGGTGGTGCTTACTTTTCGACGTCCACCTCCGTGAACATAACGTACGTGACTCTCCGCAATCCATTTTTCTTTGAGTTTAAATATGCTGTTCTTGCATACATGCAGATCATCCGCAATGACCAATCATTTTGAAGTAAAGTTATAGCTCTCACTTTCTCAGGTTCCGTTAAACGCGGCATCTTGAATTACCAAGCAAATTACTAATGACACTGACATAGAAACTAGTCATAATAAGTAGACCACATCACATTAGAAAAATAAATCGTCCACTTTCAAAGGGCCGGCAGTATACAAGGTATTTAAGAATCAGCCACCTCGGATCTTTTTAATTAGTGACCATTATAGTTATTTGTATCGAGGTGGCTAGTCCTTAAGCAGGACAGCCTTGTGTAAAACTATTTTTCTATATTTTTTCCAGGAAAGTAAAGAATTCACGGAAAGACACCGGCTATTCCACAGCTAGTTCCCACACCAGCATAAGAAACAACCTCCAGAAATCTCAGTCCAAACGGTCCACGAGAAGCAGTCGCGAATCCGCCGATCCCGACGAGACCAGGCAGATGTTCAAGCAGAAGCTAAAACGCACCGACAGAGACACGAGAGGAAGACGAAAGCTGGAGGACGCTCTGTCTGAGGAGAGCGAGAGCGACGTGACCTTCCTGGAGGAAGAACCCAAAAGGGACAAAACCAAGAGGGGCCGCAGCAAAGACAAGCAATACCGGAAAGAGACCACAGTGTCCATGACCACGAGTGACCCGTCATCCGACTGACGTCATCAATTAGCCATAATGGCTATTTTCTGCTTGTACTTATTTATTTTTATATGTTGCATGTTTTTTATATACTGTGGTATCAATACTGAGGGCCTCATCATTGCTAAGGTCAATAAGAAGAACAAAACCTCCTACTAGGCATAGAGCTGTAATAGATGTTATTTCTAGTCAATTAATTCTTTTCTGAATAAAAAAATACACTTATCAAATCTGCAAATATATTTTTATTTAAGAACAGTGTGAAATCTTCTATAAAATAGACATTACAAAAATATTATTAAAACTAACTTTCTTTGAGAAAGATGATTAAACTAACATATCACAAAGAACAAGTCCACTAATCTAAGGCATCACATTCTTACCTAAAACAATTTGCACTTGGAATAAATACTTTAAGTAGGTACTAAAAAATATCGACACATCAATCTTTGGTTTCATTTTCAGTAAAACAACCTTCATCCAGTTTCTTCGCAACCTCGTCTTGATTCATTTCGTTGACTAAGGAAAACAGGATAATTTGATTTTTGAAAACCTCTAAACGATTTTCCAAATTGCATTTCTCTGTGTTTATACTATCAGAATTAATTATCCCTTTTGCTTCTTTGCAGCTTTCAAAAAAAGCTTTCAGCATTTCAGTGGTGGAGTTGACTAAAGGCTTCAACTCGGTAATTGGAATCTTTTTAACTTCAACAACTCGAGGTTTGCGCTTTCTAGTGAAATATTTCTTCTTGGATTTCCTTCGTACTGGCACTGTTTCTAGTCTCGGTTTCTTATTGGGAGCTTTCTTCTGGATCTCTCTTATGGTATAATCGAAAGCTTCGATTTTTTTCGTTTCGGTATTGTATTCGGGCCGTTCGTGTGCGTTGACAGGCCATTGTTTGAAAGTTTCAGTTGGCGGTGGAGGTTTTTTATTGGGTACCTAGAACAACTGAATCTATTTGACACAGGTAATGCGATCAAGACGGATTTTAAACTTTTCCTCTTGGAGTGGGTAGCTACTTAATTAATATTACATAATTTAGTACTTAATTGTAATTGAAACATGTCACTAACACTTATCTCTATACAGGGTGTTTTCTAAGTTCATATCATAAATAATTGAGGATGTTATGCCTTGTATCATTTAGAAAATCTCAAGAAACGACCAGTTCAAAGTTATTGATTTTCGAAATAAAGTGTCGAAGTTTTACAAAAATATTTCTCAAAATGTTTGCAGAATCAATTGGTGTTAGTATTTAGGCTAATTTTTTTTTTAAAAAAAGTGAATCAGTTTTTTTAATCCATTATTTAAATGAGCACAAAATTCCGGACAAATGCGAGTTTAAGAAAAAAATATATGAGACAAAATTGGCTGCTTTTAGTGAGAACACCTTGTATTTTTTGTGAAAAAATTTAGTTTAGTTATTTTTTTACTTATTCAACAAGCTTCTTTTAAATTACACAAAAATAACTTGAAAATGGTTTGTTTACTTTTACCAAATAACATTGAAGACACATTTTTTGAAAATTAGAAATTGCACTTATCCAATTTCCAATACTCAGTGGCGTCGAAATTCCAAGGTTTTTAGCGACGAGTGATTCACTGAATACAAAATAAGTTAATTTTTGTCTTAATTATTATTATTAGCCTAGGTTTCATCAAACTACTTCAGAACATTTACAGAGGTATTGGAAAAAATATGATATAATGTTTATTTATAAATTCCAATGGACTTAAAAAACTCTCTGTATATTGATTTTTGCGAACACCTTGTATTGCAACATTTTCAAACAGTTGCTCAATACCGTTTTTAAATAATATTGACTTATTTTTAATAGTATGATTATTTGTGTTGTCAACTTCAATTTACAATTAACTACAAAAAGACCAATAAAAATAAATGTATCATTTTTAAATATTACTTATTTCGACAAAAATCAGTTCGTTTTTAAAAGTACTGTCAATAACTGTCAAATTTTTATTATTTCCTCCATAGATTATCGGAGAGATTGTATGATTTGTATTTCGTATAAACTATTTTTAAATGTACGATATTTACCTTATTTTCTTTTTGTTCTTCTTTCTTCTCCTCATCACTAGTGTCGAGCAAGGCGAAATCTTCCTCTAAGATATGTTCTTTAGACAATTTTTTGGAATTTATCCTGGCTTTTCTGACGGGGTTCCGTCTTATTCTATTATCTTTGTTGGGCGAAACGTCAATTTCCTTTCTTTTCTCTACTACGTTCACTTCCTCATCTGCGCCCTTAGTTTTATCTTCCCTATACTCCTTAACAAACACGACGTCATCGTCATCACTGATACAGAGTACATCGACGTTCTTCGTATTTTCAAAAGGATTCAGTTCCGACAATTTGTTAATGTCAATAAATTCAGGTTGGTCGAGGGCTGTTTTATTATTACACAAAATTTCCAAAACTGCAAGGCCGTCGTCGACTTGCTGCCTCTCATTTATGTATTGATAATTTTCTTGTATACCATAATCATTTTGGACGTTACCATTCTGCAGGTTTTCGAACTGATAGTAATTACCATCGAAAATGATTTCCGGTAAATTCAAGTTTTGATTGTTTGCGTTATTGATAGGATCTAAGACTATGGCACAGTCACTTTGGATATTTTCTTGCGTATAAATCATCAAGGGCTCGTCCAGTAGAAGAATCTGTCCATTTTCGACGAGGCTGGAATATTCCCCGTTGTAAACCAAATTTTCGTTAGGGTTTCTTCCAGTTTCCAAAGCCATAGCTTGAAAAACCTGCAAATATCAAAGCATGGGTAAAGTGATAATGAAGTACAATTACGATTTAAACAAATATAATACAATTTTGTGCCCGTCTGTTTAGTATTTCAAATATTCACATTACTTCACACGAACGATGTTACATAGTGCTGGTATAAGCACTCGTTTATACAATAAAACGTTTTAACTTACTTGTTTTTCAATTCGTAATTTTACAAATAAAAAAATGCGAATTGAAATGTCATAATAAATTTCGAATGGGAAACTACTAAAAATTTGATATTGCTAGGCGACCGAAACTATTGTTATTTTTGTCATTGTAGTAAGAAGTGCGGTTTCATTCAAAAACTTAATTCAAAGTAAAATAAAGATGTGAGTATAAAGGAAATATACAAAATTATATCATTTATCACGGACTTTTATTAGACTCGAGATTCTACCAGCTGTCAAACTGACAATCAACTGAAGAGTAATAAAATAAGAGTAAGATGCAGATTAATTTGAATTGCAAAGAATCATCAAGTAAGTGTTTACTATGCATTTTCATTCATTTTTTAGATGAAAATATTTAAAAAACATTCCACGAGTGATACTTTGCGCGACTAAATCAGAATAAACACATTTTGGCAAGGAAACTGAAATAGCTAAACTAATTCGCTCAGTTATAATGCTTTTATAGATTTATGATCACGGGCTAGTCCAATGTGCGAAATCTTGTTATATATTACGTATCGGAAAGCGACCGAAAAATAATTTTAATTTACATTTGCCATCCAAATTCGTTTGACGCCATATCTCATGCGTACCAGGTTTATTTAGAAGGAATTCCACGGTTAAAATTTCTCAGCAGGATATCCGAAAAATGATTTATGAAAGGGACCCGCATTAAATAATATTTTAGACGTTAAAATTAGATCAAAAGTTTTATTCGTGGTACGGGACCTCTTATTTTTTAAATACTGTTATTTCCATGTATCCTGTTTATATTTAAGAAACTGCATTGACGTTCGACGGAGGTTGTCAGTTGCGAATCGTTTTTGGGTTTATAAGAGCGTCAAAGTGATCAAAAGATTCATCATTTGATGCCTTCATCTCGAACTGTTTTGTTTATATTATTTTTCTTGTAATCACCACTTAGTATACAGGATATATCAACAAATGAATATTCTCTTTTAAAAATAACTTAAAATGACCTTTTGCACGAATTACTACTACAACATAAAAAATAACATACCCACAATCTAGGATTTTTTAAATTATTTAAGTGCACTACTGTTTATTAAAATGCCCCACAAGATAAACTGTCGTAGTATATTATTGATAACAATCACATTACAGAACAAACACGAAATATAATAGGGTTTAATCTCTCAGTAGCAGTTATATAAATGATAAATTTTGACGTTGAAACGGGGGGTAATTAATGGGGTGTGTCCTAAGAAATAAATCCATGATTATTGGTCAGAATTGTTTGTTTTCCTATTAATAAAATAATCAGGTGTTCACAGATATATTTTGGACATGCAAATAATAATTATAATTTTTCTAAAGGTACAACTGGTATGGTTACCAAAAAATCTAACATTTCTGTGTCTATGGCTTTTTTGTATTTTTGATTTATTAATTGATTGTGTAAAGACGATGTTGCAACAAGCTTTATCTAATAAGTATAAAAGAACAAAAGTTACATTTTCAAAGCGCTCTACAATTCTTTAAAGATTTGAACACGGTATTTTAAAATTATTTCGGAACCATTGAAGATATACAGTGTGTTCCCGGATGGGGTACCGCACCTTGTCAACTTTTTTAGTGTTGATATTTAGAGAAAAAGTTTTTCTTGACAAAAAGTTTTACTTATACAGGGTGGTCCTTAAGTAATTGTATATAAAAGCATGATAGATTTGCGACTTTAAAATATTACGATTTGAGCCAACTTGCCTTAATAAAACATTGATAATAAGAAGATACAGGGTGTTAAAAGTGAAATTTCATTTCATAATTCGGTATCTAATTTAATGTATCATTTAGAGGGCGCCACATAAGCCACATGTGTGGCATAAATGTACACTAAACTTTTTTGCCCATCAAGGTAGCCCTCTTTGGAAAAAAATATTAAAAGCACGGCATTGTAAGAACAAAAATGTATACTTGTTAACAACCTCTAAACTTAACGGCTTTCGAGATAATCGAATTTTAAAAATCGGCTGCATAATTCTTTAATTCATTACGAGAAATAGTAACGTAGTAGACGGAAGTCACGAATGATTTTAACAGCTAAACATTCTTGTTTTCATAATCTATGACGTTTGAAAAAGTTTTAATTGAATATTTCAGATAATTAAGGAATAGCAGAAAATGCCGAGACAATAATTTTTCTAATACAGAAATGAGAGATAATGTTACTACATATTTACTGCCAGCAATATTTCAGTGGACGTGCTGCGAAATGGGAATATTTTAGAAGATATCCAAACAGGCTGCAACCTAATCACCAAACATTTGAAAATCTATTTAGGAATTTAGGAGAAAGTGGTTCATTTCGTCCTAAACGTGATAATTTAGGCCGACCGAGAATCATTACGCCTGATCAAGATGAAATTGGTTCACGTTGCAGATGATCAAGTTAGTACAAGAAGGTTATTTTCAGCTTTGGAATCAGTAAAACTTCAGTTTTAAAAAGACTAAACATCGATAAATATCACCCCCACCATTTTACTCCTGTGCAAAATTTATTGCCAGCAGATCTACCATTAAGATACCAATTTGCAAGTGATATCCGAAATAGGCAAAATCTTTACCCCACCTACCTTTATTAATAAAATATTATTTACGGACGAGGCAACATTTAGCCGCCGTGGTATTTTTAATTTAAGAAATAATCATATCTGGGAAATTGAAAATCCTCATTTTAAAATAGAAAGACATTTTCAACACGAATTCAAAATAAATGTATGGTGTGGGATCATTGGTGATCATTTTTTAGGGCCATACGATTTCCCGCATACTTTGAATGGTGAGAACTACATACATTTTTTACAAAATGACTTCATTGATCTTTTGGACGAATTGCCACTAAATTTCAGGCAAAATATGTGGATTATACAAGATGGTGCATCTCCTCATTTTATGAGAGAAGTCAGAACATATTTAAATACCAAGTTTCCTGAACGCTGAATTGGCCGTGGTAGTCATTTCCCTTGGCCAGCACGTAGCCCAGACTTTAATCCTCTCGATTTTGGCGTATGGGGCGCAATGAAACAACTTGTTTATAAAAGTCCCATAAATACTTGCAACCAACTTTGGGAAGAAATAAATGCAATTGCAGTTTCTTTTGGACCAATCATGTTATTTAATATGAGGCCATCTTTTATGGAACGTATGGAACGCATCGAAGAGAATGGTGGACATATCGAACACTTACTTTGACATTATTAAACTTGTAATGTTAGTCAGCTTAGTTTTTTCTTTTCTTAATATGTGTAAAATTCACTTCTAATTATGATTATTAAACTTATTATTTAACTGCTTTTATTTAATTTTTTAAATGTTGATGTCAACTCCTACTATTACGTTAATATTCATCCTGTTGATGTAAAAACATGATAAGCGTATCTTCTACGTTAATATTTCTCGTATAAAGAAGAATTATGCAGCCGATTGTTAAAATTCGATTATCTCCAAAAACCGTTAAGTTTAGAGGTTGTTAACAAGTATACATTTCGCCCTTCCACAAATAAGATGTGGATCTTATTTGTGGAAGGGCGAAATGGGCGGTGACTATTAGACGACTTCATTATAGCCATCTTTCTCTATCGCACGGATTTCTATGACTTTCTTTATCGCTCTCATGTAACGGCCGATGAACCATGGGGACTTTCCGACCCTGTATGTACAATTACTTAAGGACCACCCTGTATACTATATGTAATAAAGCATACAGAGTATCCCAAAAATTTTTAAATGTGAAATTTTCTCTAAGTAAAGTGCCTTTATTTTTGTTTTCGTTAAAAACTGTATTTAACCATGTTGTCCGAGAACTCAAGAAATGCTTAAGTACGGGATTTAGTCAGGAAAGAACAATAATCATATTTTGTAATTAAAAAAACACCGCAATTTGTAACTATCTTACGTACCATATAATTATCATGGATATTTTCTTATCAATGTCAAAGTCAATATATTTATTTTTATTAACTGCTTACGGAATAATTTTTATTAATAATGGTAACCCTAAATGCTAAATAAGGAGACGCAATTTTTAAGTATCTTACGTAAAGCAGACAAAAATTGTAAAAAATAAGTCAACTTTTGTTTTAAATCTAATATAATATAAACATAGCTTGGTAGAACAATTTCCGGGTTGATTGCTACGTCGCGTCGCTTGGTTTAGGTTTCTTGATGTTTCGAGAGACATATCGCTCTCATCCTCAGAAGTAACTCTGAAAGTTTTCGAGTTTTTGAAAAGAGCGATATGTCTCCCGAATAACTTTTAAACAAATTTTTTTATGCATTTACAAATTTCAATGCTTCAATGCTCAACGGTTGGCTTTAGAGATAAGTATTCCTTTTTTTAAGCAGAAAAGTTGGGGGAAAATATTTTTCCAGCCCAAAATGGCACAACCGTGGCACAAACAAGTTTTAGCAGTTTAAATGCGTCCTAATTGGCGTTTGTGGCGCTCTCTAGATAATACAATGAAATCGTCGATAAATTCGAATTTTTCATACCAAAAAAAACCCGGATACGAAATATCACGAAATTAGCTCGAAATAGTCGAGACATTAAAAAAAATGTTTCAATTTTGACACCCTGTAGCTCCGTTACAGCCCTTTAGAGACACCTTGTAGATCAATCACAAACACACGTAACAGAAATATGAAATTTGCACCACTTTAGGACGCACACAATATGAAAGTTAAGCTATAAATATGGGTTAGCAGTATTAACGGCACTGCCTGTCAGTCCAGCACGGACAATATCCACAAGCCGCTATTTAATCTCCACGTGACGTCATAAC